CCGGCGAATATCGATGGCAGCGGTAGCTTTCGGCTGGGGTATGGCGACAAGCGGCGCAGTTGGCTTGGATTCCCGCCCAGCAGCCAGGGCGATGAGGTCGATGTTCCGGTGGAGGTGGCCAGGAAGAAAGGGGGATGCTGCTGATCGCGCGCGTTCCTCGGTTCTCGTTTCCGGCTATCATCTACCTCTGCACGGGATCTCCACAACTTATGTCTTCCTGCCTCGCGCCATCGCATCCACTGCTCGGTCCCTGTATGTTCTTTGCGTTGAGAGGACCTCGGTTGGGCGTTCGACTTGCATTCGACATTTCTCTCCTCTATTTTGCATGATTTGATGACGATGTATACGACTTTTGATTCTTCTGTTCTTCATGCTGTGTTTGTACTTTTTTTCCATTCTCTTTCTTTGTCTTGTGGTTTTGCTTGAACTGCTACACTATGATTGCTGGCATGGCATCGGATTTGGGTGGTCGTTAGATAGATCTTATTAGGGCGCTTCTGGGAGGATCTAATGGACATGACATGAACTGTTTCTAAAGTACTCTGGTCAGTTGAAGCTGACGATGCCATGTGATCTTGCAACCGCCAACAGTGATAGTAAGCCAGCTTACATTTCGTCTCTCGAGTGCCCGATTGGGAACAACATGATCTTGCCTCTGAGTCACTCACCCAGGTATATTCGTTACGGCATCTTTGTCGTGCTGCCGGGACGGCCTCTAATTTTGGTCGCGGTTGTAAGTACTAAGATTCCTTCTGTAGTCAAAATCTGCAATCGAACAGTTTGCGATTGATTCCCGGTTGACGAGTTGTTAGTCATTATGAGATTATGATTTGAACGTCAGCTGTGTTTGGTCCCGGCATTATTTAATGTGACTTCTAGGTGCTAATTGAACATAGAAAGGAAAGAAAAAAAAATCCAGCGAGTCGTGTTGATTTACGGATCGTCGTATTGCTGACTGTTTGAGGTATTCGAGGCGATGGATAACGTTAGTAGAATGAGAATTGTGGGACAAGCCTTCCTCTAAAAACAAACCGTCTTCCGAACATTGAAGGAAGTTGTTACGGTTTGTACTGTACAAAGTACCACTAGGTTATTCATGGTGCCAGTGAACAGATCATACGTGTGTAAACTTGCAAACCTCGAATAGTTATCGTTGAGTGAACCCTTCACAAGGCCCTCCAAGCTCCGTCTCCAGCTCCCCCTTCCCAAACCCGTACAAGATCCTGCCAAATTTGCAACGGGCCAGATCCCTTCCAGACACAAAACTCCGCGCGCCCGATACGAGCCCCACACCCGCAGGCCGGGCGGCGGGCTGACAGTCGTGAAAAAAAAGACGTGTTTCAGACTCTATGTTATGTTCACTGCTGTCTTGCTCGATCGTCCAAGATTTTCATTTCTCAACAGGGACGAATGAATTGATCGGCAAGCATCAGGTGGGATTGGGGGTTGTTCCTATTGATGGATTTGTTTCTTGGAGGAGTTTCGATTGTCCTGCAGTGGTGGCCTTTTAATTGCCGAGGTTGTGTTGTGTTGTGATTGAGGAAGAGGGGGAGAGAGAGGGAGGGCAATTGACAAGGGCATTGTTTCTCTCTGCTGCTGCTGTACTACAGTACATACAACAAACAGCAACTAAGTTAAGGATTGTCTGTTCCACATACACGAGGCGAGTACCGTACTGTACACGGGCACAACCTTTTGCCTTCTTGGTTGGGATTCGAAACCGTCTAACAGGGCTTGTGTGAATAATCAAGCTGACTGTCAGTGCAGCTGGTTGATCGTGGGACTGAGAGACTGAGACTGAGACCGAGACTGGGCCAGAACCAGAAGTGCAGAGAAAAGGGCAGCAGAAAAAAAAGGGTTCAAAGTGGAATGGCCGGGTTATCAGTGGCCACTCACACCCGCGGTTTCGGTGGGACGTTTGAGATAGACTCGAACTCGCCGGTGGATCTTTTTCTGACTAGCTGGCCCAGATCAGGCACCACCACACAATCTCTCTGGATTGTTCATTTCCCACCGAGAGAGGAAACACGGCAGCACTCATGCTATTCGTCCCACCGGAGATGGAGTTTACTGGGTACTACGCACTTGGCTGAAGGACTGCAATGATCGTCCCGTCATGTTGTCTAACGTGAGGGGGGGTAAGAAGAAAAGAACAGAAGCCTGTAATGTGCAACGCAAGTACAAGGGGGGATGGCGACATACATTACTTATACTATTCTACGGAGACCTACAGAACAATTGCTGCTTGCCAATATTGCATTGCATTCAATGTGGATAATTCTATGGGCCAAGTGAGACCTCTGTCTCAATTCTGGTAAAATTAGCCTATTCATTGTCCATTGAAATGCTTCACAATGCGAAATTACTGTCTACTGTCTATAGACAGCCACTAATCGGCTGGTATTTCCTACGCCTGGGTAAAATTACGTCTGACAGTACGATACATCCATACATACATCCATACATACAACCCTTCCACTCTCCACCAGGCAATCCACCAATCCGCGCAAAGACCCGGTGGTGATAAGCCTCAGGCCCCCGTCGACGGGGCCGGCTCTTGCTTCTTTCCTTTCCGCTCTTCTGCTTCTGCTTCTGCTTCATTGCTGCTTTGCTGCTTTGCTGCTGCTTCTTTTCTTCTTCTTTGCCTTCTATTCATTCCTTCTTTAATCACTCCCTTCCTCGCCTTTTCTTGACGGACTGAAATCGCCATTCCCTATTCATAGACAATAACTACTCGGCGTCATAGAGTAAGTCCTCCTAAATTACCCTCATGTTTAATTTGCTGTCTTGCCCTGCCGTGTCCGCTGCCTGCTGTGTCTCTCCTTATTTCTCCGCTTCTTATTACTACTTACCTCCCTCCCTCCTCCCTTCCACCCCCCTCTCCTCCTTCTCCTTGCCTTAAAATCGATCGCTCATTGGAATCTCTTTCTATCCAGAATTCAGCCACCCACGCGCCCCATTCCAAAGCCCCCCTCGGCCGTAAGACAGCAAGCAAATGTTATGAAATGAGACTATCCTACCGTATCGGTACGGCCGCCCTCCTTATCGTCGCCATCTTCCTGATCAAGCGCCACCTCGATCTCGTCCAGGATGATTCGCGCGTCCAGTCCGGCTGGAGCTTCAACGGCTTAAGCGGCGGTTCGGGCTCGTCGGAACCCGCGACCAACGACAAGAGCAAGGATGCCACTATCCCGGCCTCTAAGGAGGAACTCCCAGTGGTGGGAGGGGGGAAGAAGGATCAATCCGCCGCCGCCGCGGACGACAACGACGACGGCATCGCGCTCGGGTCACGGCCAGTCTACGAAACCACCCCGATTATCGTTCCCAATGATCGGGTGATTGTCATGGCCAAATTGGCCGCGGAGGATACAGCTTGGGTTAGCAACGACTTGGCGGAGTATGTTTCCCCTCAATCTACACTTTATCTTTGCGAACTCTCTTTTTTGTTTTCTATGCACGGCTGCGCCGGAACCCCCAGCTGTGCGCTTTCTTCAATGGAAGCAGAATTGTCTCGCTAACTAAGATCTTCTCTCTTTTCTCGCAGCTGGCGCAATTACATCTACACCGTCGACGACGTCAATGCCGCCAAACACACCCCCCAGAACAAGGGCCGTGAGAGTCTCGCCTATCTCCAATACATCATCGAACACTACGACGACCTCCCGTCGACGATCGTCTTCATCCACAGCCACCGCGACGGCTACCCGGGCGCCTGGCACACCGACACCATGGAATACAGCAATGTCGACTCGATCCGCGCCCTGCAGACCGACTTCGTCCAGCGCAACGGCTACGCAAACCTCCGCTGCCAGATGACTCCCGGCTGCCCGGACGAGATCCGCCCCTTCCGCAACCCGCCCCAGTCGGGCCAGACCACCGAACGGGTCTACGCGGACGCCTGGGAGCAGCTCTTCAACAACACCGACGTCCCCGAGGTCGTCGCCGTCGCCTGCTGCTCGCAGTTCGCCGTCTCGCGCGACCAGGTGCTCCAGCGGCCCCTGAGCGACTACATGTGGTTCTACGAGTGGGTGCTGACCACCCCGCTGTCGGACAAGCTGGCCGCGGGCGTTATGGAGTACACTTGGCATATCATCTTCGGACAGGAACCCGTCTAGTACGTTCTCTTTTCCCTTCTATCTTCTGCGCCTCCATCCCAAACAATCGATGCTAACCGAAGCGCGCAATAGCTGCCCCGATTCCTACCAATGCTACGAAGACGTCTACGGCAACCCCTACTTCTGGTGATAGATTGCCATTTCATCTCTCTTTCTCTCTCCCTTCCTCGCCGCGTCTGTACAGAATACTCCTCCAAACCCCGTCCCTTTCTTTCTCTCCTCCATTTTTGTCCCATCTATCATCTACCTTGTAATTTTTCTTTCCCCAATCCGCCGTTCGCCCTTCTCTGGTCCTGTATCTGGCGACGATCTCACGCAACGTCTTCTATCTATACTTCGGTGGTGTTGGCTGTATATGTCTTGGAAATCTGGTTTCCATATTTTCTTTTTTTCTTATTTTTATTTAAAAAGCCCCGTCAATGAGCAAATATACATGATACCTGGAATTAAACTTTGTTCCGTGAGTGCAAACGTAGGGTGGGAGACTGGTAGTCTGTATACACGTTAAAGCACTAGGCTGTGGCAATTGGATAGTCTTGTCTTTATTCACGGTGCTTGCTTGTCAATTCTGCGGAGTGCACATGGTATACCTGGTCCTCAATTGTGGCGACAATAGATTAGACCGCTTCTTGACTACCGACCAAAATGTGCAAACACCACTCTGGATGTCCCTCTCCGGGCAAAGAGTGAATCAATAATAGACACAAGACCACTGTCCCCGCCCTACCGAAGTCAACTCGGATATACAGGAGAAATATCACCCATTCAATTATCGTATATCATATGTAAGTAAGTATATATGAATGAATGTATGTACATCAAGAAACGAAAGGAACGAAGATAACTCAAAACCCCTCCCGCCCAGCCAGCCATATCCCGGCCAGCCGTAACCCATACTTAGTAAGTAACCAGGTATGACAGAGTCCAAATCCACCAGACCACTGCACTGCAAGCTAGTCTACCTACCCCATTCGGATAAAGCAGAGATCCCAGTCTAAATCGGAACCAACATGCACCGGGCTCCGGGTGTAACCTGCCGGTGGGCCTCCCAACCAAGTACATATGTATGTAGCCTAGCCTCTAAGCAATAATCCTCAAACCACCGGCCACAAAGCAAAGTAAAGCAACAGACTCTCACCACGCGAATCGAGCCAGGAGCCCGTTCGGCCACCGCCTCACTCCCGCCTTCCGCAGCTCATCCAGCACCACGATCCCCACCCCGAATGCCGCAGGCAGGAAGTAATGAATCGCGGGGACGCTGGTTGTGTTCAAGGTGCGCTGGAGCGGGGGGATATAGAGCCAGAAGATGGCCATGACGAAGGCAAACAAGATGGCGGGGAAGAGGAGCAGGTTCTGAGTCTTTTTATTGAAGGCTGGTGGGTGCGAGAAGATGGAGAGGCGGCGAGTGCGGACGGCCATGAGGTTGAACCATTGCCTGGGTTTTTTGGTATCGATGTTAGTTGTCGGAACGAGAAGAGAACACCGACGAGCAGTGGTACAGGAGGAGGAGGAGGCAACTTACATCACGACAAGGTTGACAAAGTAGACAGAGCTAGCTTCGTTGAGGCGGGCTGTGAGCCAGTCTTGGTCAATGTCGGAGGGGTAGTTGCCGAACTTGAACCAGAAGACGGAGAAGGGGACGCCGTTGCGCTCAAGGTACCAGAAGGCCATGGCAAAGGAGCAGACGGTTTCAATAACGCCAAGAACACCGTATGCGTGGAAGATGAGTTTCCAGTTCACGAGGCGGTTCTGCTTGGGCTTGCGTGGGGGACGGAGGAGGACGTCGGCTTCGGGTTTCTCGTAGGCGAGGACTGTCGCGGCCGCGCAGTCTGTGAAGCAACTGATTGGATTGAGCTTGTTAGCTAATGCGAGTTATCATTTTAAAAATAAAAGGTGGGGGGGAAGTTTACCAGATGATGATCATCAAAAAGGATGAGAGGACCTGAGGAAGCCCGAAGACGACATTGCAAAAGACAGGCCAGAACTCTGAGAACGAGCCCGCTGGGAGAAGATAGACAATTGTCTTCTTCAAGTTGTCAAAGACAACCCGCCCGTACTGTACCGCTTCGACGATGGCAGAGAAAGACTCCAGAAGAACCATGTCAGAGGCCTCGATAGCAATGTCGGACCCGCTACCCAGTGCGATGCCAATGTCAGCTGCCTTCAGAGAAGGCGCATCATTAACACCGTCGCCAGTCATGCCGACAATCTCGTCTCTTGCGCGGAACTCGCGAACAATACGAAGCTTTTGCTCGGGAGTGGTTCGCCAAAAGACAATTTCCTGGTACTGACAGAGTTGTTCCCACTGGTGGTCATTGAGACTCATAAGGTCAGCTCCACTGATGGTGATCGCGGAGGCAGTAGGAGCACTGGAGGCCTTCTCGGAATCCGTTGATCTTCTGAGAGCAGTCGCATCATCAACGAGACCGTTTGTGCCAACAATTCCACATTGCCGTGCGATAGCCAGCGCTGTGAGGCCAAAGTCGCCGGTTACCTGGTGGAGATGCAGTTAGCACTATGCAGCCCAGATCTCAATATCTGCACGGATACGCACCATGAAGATCCGAATCCCTGCGCGTCGCAGGGTACTAATGACGTCTGGAATTTCTTCCCTCGGAGGATCGACAATACCGACCATGCCGACTAGAACCAGCCCGGTCTTCGCTTGGTTCAGCATTTCAGTCTCAAACTCGTGTGAGGATGGCTGAAACATTATCTCAGCTGAAGAGAGGAGTTTTCGCGCGAGGAGAATTACGCGCTTTCCTTCTGCAGACCACTGGTCCTTGACTTCTCTCATCCGAGCCAGCATCCGCGCTTCCAGTGGCTGCACGCTGCCATCAAGATCAATGAATTGCGAGCATCTGTCGATAAGAATGTCCGGTGCACCTTTAATCGTGAAAAGACTAGTCAGGGCCTGTAAGTATTTGGCCCAAAGGAATGCGCGTTTGCCAACTTACATATCGCTGCGCTTGAACTGCGAAGACTCTGCGGCAGACATCGCGAGTCCTAGTCCCTCTGGTTCAGCAAGTGTGAATGTCCGTACCATAAACTTGTTCTTGCTGTTGAAAGCCAGCTCATAGGTCTTTTTCCACGTTTGGCGCAGTTTGGCTACCGATCCCAAACCCTCGGATAACCTCAGGACGGCTTGATCAGTGGCATTTCCATGGATTTCTCTCTCGTGGAGCGGGAGCTGCATGGATGCGGCATCAAATTCAGCTGCATTGCAGAGACCGGCCATGGCGCGAAGCTGGTGGACTCCGCTCTTCTTGCCTTTCCTGTTCATCTCATCCCTTGCTGAATCAGGGCTAAAGCAGGTTGTCGAGATGGCACACTCTGTAACAAACATTTTGTTCTGGTAGGCCACAAGATTAGTAAACAGTGACGCTCCGGCAATTGCATAAGACAAACCCTTGTCAACGTTCCAGTCTTGTCGGAGCAGATTACAGAGACAGCACCCAGAGTCTCCACGGTCTTCAGCGATTTGCACAGAATCTTGTTCTTGCTCATGAGGTTGGCAGTGATTGTCAAATTTGCGGTAAGGGCGATTGGAAGGCCTTCAGGAATGAATGCGATAGCAACACTCACGCAGTCGACGATCAGAGTAGGAACGTTGATCCAGTCAGGATGTTCTTTTCGAAGCCATCCAGCCCTATGGATTGTGAGTATCGAGCAACATGCTGCGCTTCAGGCAAAACATACCAAACCCCAACAACTAGAATGATCATAGCTAGCATGATTGCGACAATGAATGACACAAAGCGCAGGATCTCTTTTTCCAAGGTGGTCAAGCCTTTCTTGGGCTCACTGGTCAGCTTTGCAATTCGACCAAAGACGGTCGAGTCACCAGTGGAGACAACGACGCCCACGGCACTTCCAGCCACGCAGTGTGTCCCCTGTAGACCAATACAGTGTGTCTCGAGGTAGTTGTCATCCGTAGAGTTGACCGTTCCATTGATCGGGGCGGATTCACCTTCAGACACTTCTTAGAACAAGCTGCCATGTGTCTTAGGGGGCGGGGGGCATACCAGTCAGGATCGAACGATCGAAGCTCGCGTCAGTGGAGACTTCGACCAGGCGTAAATCAGCAGGCAGCTTGGTTCCGGCTGTGAGATGCACAACATCACCAGGAACAATTTCCGGTCCAGAGACCACAGTGAGTGAGCCGTCGCGGAGAACAAGACAACTTTCCGGCAACATGGCAGTGATCGACGCCATGACTCGTGATGATGACCAATCTTGCCACGCATTGAACCCAGCTTGAATGAAGAACACGGCAAGTAAAACGATAGCCAAGGCAAGATTGGCTATAGCTGGAGGATTCCCGAGAGGCTTCCATGAGACAAACACCAGAACACTTCCTATAAGGAGGATGGCACCGAAGCCTTTGAAGAAGTAACCAAATATCTGCCAGAACCACTGGTGTGGCAGTGGCGAGAGAGCATTCTTTCCGTATTCCTGTAAGCGTTGCTGGACTTGTTCGCGCGAGAGCCCCTGCGATATATCGACTTTCCATCGTTTCTGCAGCTCTTCGGTGGAAATTTGATGCCAGTCGAGGTTCGAGAGGTCTGGAAAAGAGATTACAAATCAGCCACAACCCGCAGGATAACAAGTTCCAAGTTGAGGATGTCTACCTGTCACGACATTGTTCTTCGTTTTGGCGGTCTCAGCAAGTTCTTTTTCTCTTGCTTCATCGATGTCGAAGGAGCTACAGCGGTCACTGTTAATTTATCTGCTATGCTTGCATGATTCATCAAGAGAGAGCACTCACACAGTGCGGTAATGGATTGGCAATGAAAGTGAAGGATCAACAGTTGCCCTCCGGTTCCGACTCCGCGCAGACATTTGAGAGTTGTTTGACATGGTTGACACAGTTCTTGAGAGATCTGGAAGCAGTTTCTTGGGCTGGAGACCAGTCTCTTCGTCTACCTCCTGCCAGCGGAGGCGGGTTGCCTCTGCTTTTGGCGAGCTTGACCGTTGGTGCGCCATGTTGGACTAGAGGGTAGAGAGCCTCTGAGGAAAGCAGACACCAAAGAGATGGATGAAAAAGAGAGAAGGCTGAAGGAGAATAACACGGGCAAAAGCGTATTGTGCTTTGCTTGCTCTTTATACTTGGGGTCACATTCTGTCATGTGTCAACCATGCTCTTGACGCTATGCAGCTGCCATGCGAGATTTTTTGCAGGGCCCAGTCGATTGTCATCAATACCACATGCGGATTGCGAGATTGAGGGGTTAATCCGAACCAGTCATCAAAGCAGCTTGGACCTGAAGCTAGATCGAGACTGAGATCAGTGGCTTTGGTAAATCCCGCAAATGGGCTCAACTGGCGGAGCGGGAAGCGAGCCAAAACCTCTTTTCGCTTCATGCCGCCTCAAACAATACGGCTGCCTTCCCTCCTTCACTATTTTATCGCCCCCGTCGGAAATCATATCGCGCAAAAGAATTCTGTGGTGCGAGTTCAGCTCCTGTTCTATCCAAGATATGGCCCTGGCCAAGCCAGCTAATCTACTCCACCATCCTTTGGTCGTGTGAGCGACTGGACAATGAATAGCAATGCTACAATCATGGTTGACACAACAGGCAATCCTGAGAACCGAACACTCCATCTCCTCTCTTGTGGATCACTCCGACTCTTTGGAGCAGCTGTTCGTCGCGAAGGTAAAGGAAGATGCTGTACTCGTGCCGTTTGTGGGGTTAGATCACCGAGAAGGGCAATGCCCATTGCGGCATGGTAGTAACTGAAGTAAGATCGGAGAAGTCTCAGACACCAGTTACTACCTGCCTCCACGCGTGCGACTGACTGCGATACCCACGAGAACAGCCTCATTCTACCTCTGTGCTCGTTCTCCCAAGTCTGTAACCGTGACTCCAGATAGGCTTCCGTCCAGGGAGCATCGGTTCTGCTGGCTAGCATGATGTAATTTCCAAGGGAAGCAGCTGTCTCCATGGCACAATTCGCCCCTTGCCCTATGTTGGGAGTCGTCTGCAAGCCGGTCAGTTCTAGCCTAGGGGCTGATGGTATGGTAGAGCACGGTTGCCTACCTTGTTCACCGCGTCCCCTATACATGCAAATCGGCCCGCTGACCATTGATTCTGGAAAGACTCCTCGAGCGGAACGAACGTGAACGAATTTGTGCGGTCATACAGCTCCCCGAAGGTGACCGCACTGGATACATGTTTGTCGAGGAATGGTGCCAGGAGTGGTGCAACGCTCGTCTTCCCTTGCTGACGTCTCCAAGCCTGCCGACTCGAATGCGGCCATGCTATGGAAATGAACCAGAAAACTTGTGCATCTTTGCCAACCATGATGAGCATTATCCATCCAGCTCCAAATGTACGGTAGACTACGCCCGTTTTGAGTCCTGCGACAGGGTTGGCAGTGCCAAAGACTCCAGCAAACGATGTTTTCAGAGGTATCTCCCTCGCCAGAACAAACCGAGCAGCGCGTCGGTTGGATTGGATGTATTGCCACATTTGCGAGCGTACAATGGAGTGTACACCATCTGCCCCAACCACTATATCCCCAGAGAGTCGTGAACCATCGGCGGTGTGGACAGTAACTTCCCTGGCCGATGGAGCCACTTGAATAACCTTCTGGTTGAAGCGGATGCGGTCTTGGCGAGGAAGGTAGTCGAAGAGGATACTCAATAATGCTTGCCGTGAGATGATGGAGAGCGGATAGCCCGTCCTACCTTCAGATCAGCTCCGCTCAACAACAATCACATCAATCAGATCTTACCGCCGAGAAGTTATGTGCCGTGTGTCAATGTCCAGTAGGAGGCGCCCACTGTCGAAATACGTTGTGTACGACACGATGCGCTCTGCCTGGCGCAGTACCTTATCATACAACCCCAATTGGTCCAGAATCCGGGCCCCGTTTGGCTGCAGTACGAGCCCAGTACCCTGAGTGATCTGACTGGCCCTGGCCTCCAGAATTGTGAAGTCGACATTGGCGCTGGAAAGACAGTGAGCGAGAGTCAGGCCCGCGATCGACGCGCCCACTATGATGACGTGAAATTTTCGATTGCTCATCGCGGACGTCCTTTGGTGTGATAGAGCCAAGTTGAACTAGATCCATGGTCTAGATGAAGATCGTCAACATCAGATGGTGGACCTGGGCGTTTTATAGGAGATTTGATAAGAATATGCCAACGTGAGGATAACGGGCTTGGATAACAATAGATATGCTGGTGAACAATAGGATATTGCCAGACAATGATAATAGATGGTTGTGAATGCCTGGAAGGGACGTATTCACTCTCTTTCAGAGATAGTCCTGCTGTAGGTTGTCGGAATGGCAGGCACCACCGCCCCTCATAGTCAGTCCCGGTCCGCGTCTGATGGACTGTACTACCCCAATCCAACGGTCGGGTGAATGACTCCTGTCGGTGCAAGGTGAGTGATCTGGTCATGTGCATGGGGTCCTTGACTGTTCTCGAGTGGGTTGTCTGATAGAATTACCGGTATCTACCTTATATTGTACTCGCAAGCCCGATTCCAAGAGTACAAGCAGACCACGAGCTTTTATCACAGTTCATTGCCAAAAGACCTGAGAGCCGAAAGTGAGCAACATGAGATAGCAGCATAAGGTCATTGGCAAGTGTCCGACACAGGTGTAGATGGATTACCATCGACGCGCATCTTGTACATGTGCCTGTCAGTCTATTCTACAACCTTCCATTCTCCAGACCTCCCTCCTCGCCCGTACCTCTTAAGCGCCCGGGACCAAGCAGAGGAACTAGTCAGCAAGTTCTGCGTTGTACAAGAGCTCGCAGAACAGAGTCACATTCAGGTTGGGCCAATAGGCCAGGTGGCTTAGTCCAAAGGTCAGCCAGCATATAGGGAAGAGTACTGAGTAGGTAAGACAGAAAGTCGGATCAGATATCAGATCAGATAAGATCAGCCGTTCATGTTATTAGATGACTGCAAGATGATAAAGCTTGTTGACGCACTGCACTGGATCAATAGCTTACTATGTCTCATTCCGAGAGTCCCGTTGATGCTGTGAAAGAGATCTTCGCTAGACCTCAGTCATCCCAGCACGAGAGTCTTGAAGGTATTTGAGGTGGCGACTGGACTGAGCATTCGACTTTCTGTCCGAGATTAATTGAAATTCTAGCCCCCGGTAGCAGGCTTGGGTGATGCGACAGATAATATGCTCAGCAGCAGGGCCCATGATATCACGAACCATGTCATGGTGGAGCGAATCAAATAGCAAGCGACTCAACGACAATGCAACGGCTCAGAGCGAGACAATGGATCCTAGATCCTAGCTTCAGTTTATCAATAACGCACTGCTGCCATTGTAGCCCAGGACAAAGCTTCAAACAATAATCCTCAACTTGGCTAACCCACAGTAAGATACTCACCAGCCCTGAACCCTAGAGCACATCCAACCAGCCCCGGCAGCGGCCGCTGTCTCAGCCACGAACTTACCCCCCTCTGGGTCTAGTTCCTTCCCCCCCCCTCCTAACCTACCAGGTTTACCTGTCAACCCCACCCACCCTTAAGTTCAGTTCTGCAACCACATTTCCCACTTCCCCGATCGCCCTAAGGAAGTACCGCCTACTGTGTACAGTACACTCACACTCACACCCAGAGTCAAAACTTCTCCCTCCCGAGCTCACCATCACCACAGCCAATTACCCCCGAAACATTGCCATCCAGAACAAAGAACCCCCAAGTTACCAAGGTTACACCTCCAAGCTCGCCACTTCTGCAGCGCATATCCCACCGCGCAACACCTCACTTACTGAGTACAGCACGTACACGCCCATACCAATACCCACACACACACATCTACAAATCCAAAGAACTAACTACTTCCTCAAAAGTACCGAGCCATCTCCCTTCCCGATGGCCCCCCCGATTCCCACCCCCAACAACCCCATCATTGGTCCATCGGGACACGAGTCAAGAAGCTTGCTTTCCTTAGACCCTAGTCAACACCAAACATTCTTATGTACTCCGTAGTAGTCTAGGTAGTTTAGGACAGTTTGGGTAGTAGGAAGGTTTGATTGCCCCGAGCCGTCGTCAGCCGTCAGCCGTCAGCCGGGTGTGGCTTCCCTTGCGCCCCCGCCCCCCTCCTCCTATCGATGGATGCATCAAGATCCCTGTCACATTGTTTTTTTTTATTGCTGGCAGACTGCAGATGGAAATTGGCCAATGATGTAATTTGTCGAATCTGCCGTGGATGAGTGGAGCCCGATCATGCGGGTGGATGGAGCCCGGTATTGTTCTGGTGGGTTTTGGTTTTTTCAGTGCTACGGTTGAACTAGACTACTCGGTCGGGTTTGGGATGGGGATTGGGGAGCGGGTGCACTACTCACCTAGTAGTGATCGCGTATACTACTTATAGATGAGGGTTGATGGTTCAAGGTTACATATGTGAGGTACATTATGGTTGATGGAAATTCAATTGATGAAAGCAACTTTGTAATCTATGTCAATGTAAATGCTAAGGAGAGGAAAAAGGCTAAACTCCAATATGCTAAGACCAGACCACGCTATTGATTGATTAGATGACAGCCACGCTCGCTTGCATATATGGAAGAACGCTGGGTTAAGTGCATCAGTCCCAGAAAATTCGAAAAAGGAAACGCTGGTATGTGTGGTTCAGTGGTATCATCGCCAGTGCAAGATTAGAACGAATGCTTGTTCCCCCCCCCCACAGTGGACGCTGTAAAATGAGTGTCCCCGCCAAATGCTGTGTTTCAATCCTGGTCCTTCGTTTTTCTATCGGCAGATCCGGCCGGATCGAAAGACCGTCAAGTCAATGGACTCGACCGAGTCAGATCCGTCATCTACCTCAATGGTAGCCATCTTCGTTACGGAATGGTCACCGTCCCTAGTTGTTTGTGTTGGGGCAGGTAACGATTCAGGCGTTGGTGCTTTCTTCTCCTCCTGCACCACAGCCACGTGTGGTTGCTCTGCCTTGAGCCGGTGTACTTCTTTGGTGGCCAGGTCGAGCAAACTCTGGAGCTTCTGCTTCACCGTACCTAATTCTGTTGAACAGTCGCCCGCCCGGAGGAAATGGTAGGCGGCGGTTTCACACAGTCCATGGACAACCTCCAGCTGTTTCTCGGCGGCATCGAAGGGGGATGCCTGCGACGCGGCTGGGGCTCGGGACGCCGGGGGACCCTGTCTCCGAGCGTTACGGATGCTAGTCAGGAGTTCATCCTCCGTTGAGGTAGGGCTTGCAAGCGAGGCAGTAATTGGCGACATCCTTGAACCGCGACTCATCATGGCACTGCGATACCCGGATGTGCGCAGCTGTGACATCTTTCCTTTGCGAATGTTGTTGCGGGCAGTCCCAATGTTGCGGACCATTTCCTCCAAGGTCTTCTGTGTGTGTCCATCATACTCAATGATAAGGTTGTGCCGTGTACTGACGAAGATGTCCCCATCACTCGAGTCCACCCAGGGTGCCTCGTCGGCTCCGCGTTTTCGGGGATTCGAGTTCGGCTGATTTTGAGAGGTATTCGGAGTGGTGATTGCAGTTCCTTCTCGAGCTTCAGGGGCAGATGAGAGGGACGGACTCTCGGTGTTGGCAAGTGTCGAATTCAAGTCATCCGTGCGAATGGAGCAGATAGAGCTGTTTCTGCGGCGGCGGGTTCTCTGGGCGGCGTGTCGTTTGTAGGCATTGGCGTATTCGGCGTGTTTGGCGGCAGTGTGGTTAGCTAGATCAGACAGTTGACCTATCCAAGTCGGTGCATTGTCTGATAGATAAGAAAATGCTCCCAGAGCGTCCATCTGTTCGCCGATGGTCATGGTGTGGGTTGGTGTTTTGATTTGGGAAAGGGGTGAAAAGTGCACTTCGGCCCTCGGATATGTACTTCCGAGTCCGAGGTCGATCTGGAAGGTTGTGGGACCGCGCGATAGTCCCCGGGATTTAGAAGCTGCCCTGCTGACCGGCCAGGAGGAGCATCAAAGGGAGCGGTACAATGGTAGGTCGTCTCGTTGTGAGATCTTTAGGAATGGCCGATAAAGGAGAGAAGATTGAGTATGGTGATGATGAAGCTGAGCCTGGGCGAGCTACTCTAATAAGACCCTTACAATGATGGCTCCATGGGTCAGGGACTAGTGCACGCGAAGGTGTGTGGCACTAAATTAGCGGACGAGATATTTAGATTAAGCAAACAATAACATGAAAAAAAAAATGAATAAGAATAAATTTCCAGCAAGTTGAGTGGGGGTAAGAGTGAGAGCAGCTAAATGAGGGGAGGGGAAAGGAGGGAGGGAGGGGGAGAGAAGAGAGGGGGGAATGCTGGAGAAAAGGACCCAGAAGAGAGAGAGAGAGAGCAACAGCCAAAGGAAAAGAGAGTAAGAATGAAGACTGGTAGGTTTGGCGGGAAGAAGTTACAGAGGAAGCTAAAAGTGACGTCCCCGAAAAGTGAAGCCCGAAGCGTGGGTCTGTGAACTTGGCCGTAATCTTACCCGTACCAGTCAGTACATTCAGTACCACTCTGCATTTCCTCCCTTCCGGCCACTCGGACAATACGGAAGCTTCCTTCCCTTTCTCAATCACCATGTGATGCCTGGGAATTACTACGATTAAGTGAGTATTACTACTGCTACCTTTCCTGTCGCTTTCCTTCCAAGTACAATCGACTCCGAGATGGAATCACATCCATGTCCCCTGCAAGAGACGGACAAGCGGTGAACAGCCGCTAACGAAGTACCGCTACGGTTCCTTCCACTGCTTGCTTGGATGCACCAGAACTACGACTTTAGTTACTGATTCATTCATGGGGGCCGTTGACTCTCCTCCACTAAAGTCGCTGACTCGCATCTTCAGCCGCAATACTTGTCGAAAACGAAGTACCTTCTAGAAAATGAGACCCTCCATATGTTTGAGGATTTCTCGAAGCCTGACCGGTCATTAATCTCAAACAGGGGAAGTCTCACGACTCGATCGATTGTACTGAGTAGCGACAAGACGCCTTGAAGTGGCAGCACGTGCCTCGGCGACCACAAGCGAGTTTGAAAACCAGCATGCACCTTGTCCAACCATTCCGCTCCTCCTCCTGCCTGGTGCCGATGACTGTCGAACAAGCAAGGAATCCATGAACGATGCAACCAGCAGGGGAGATCCGAACGCAATGGTCGCTTTGTTTGATTATGGTAACGGCGACTTTACCCAAGCGAGTCATGACACGTAATGGTCTATATGCACCTTGCGACGGATGACGGCGGCGATGCGCTAGCATCCTCACCGTGCTGCTGCTTATATCCGAACGTTATACCCTCCCAGCTCCTCCCCTCATTAGGGACGAGTTTCAAGCCGACGATCAAAACCCACGTAGCTGTCAAGTTACCATGTCTCGCAGTCTATCATGTTTGACTGGATGGAAATGCCGATCGCCCCAAGTCAGGAAACCGGTAGCTGGTTGGCCCGGTGGTTTTAATGTTGTGTGATCCTTCAAAGATGGAAGGGAGGTAACACCCCTGGCCGCGATGACATGTCCTTCGGTGATTCCTTGGTTGGTGAACATAATGGTACCGTATCGAGTACGAGATGTTAATGCTTATCGATCCACCCACCGGTCACAACGCACGAAATAGTACTTCGGAAAATGTCCCGCAAGAGAGCATGCGGTCCAAACGATACCTTGCCAACTTTCTACGGATCACACAGCCTTTGCTGGACGCTTTTGCCTGTGCAGTGATTGATTGTTCTCCGGAACACAGCTTCGTCATGTGCAAGCCACCAGTCTTATGCCGAGTAATCCTGGCTTCGCCGAGCATTATTCGAATTGTAGACCTCAATCAGCCACAAATTCGTCTCTGAGATCTCATGGTCGAGCTTACCCAAGACACCAAGTGAAACGAAATGAACGAACTCTATTGCACCGCAAAAAATGCTCTATACATGCTAACTGAGCTCAGCTGCTGAGCTGGTGGCGCCCGAGATTGGCTAACTGGGCGATCCCTTGTGCTTCAAGTAGAAGTCTTTCCAGGCATCCAAAGCCTGCTTGGCCTTCATCATGGCCTCCATGGCTTCTTTCCATTTCTTCCCAGCCTCGTCGAGTTGCTGGCCCAATTGCTGACTCATGTATTGGTGTGTTACGATGTGCCCGGCAGCCGTCAGTGGGTTGGATAAGTCTGCAGGTGCTGCAGGCGCAGGAGCACTCCCTGAAGGACCGGCAACAGTTTGAGGGACGGTTGAAGGTCCAGCAACAGCTGCTTGATTCTTAGCCGGCCGACCCCGTTTTTTAGCTGGCTTTGGGCCTGGAGCATCATCATCGTCATCGTCATCATTATCGTCATCGGCACGCTTTCTCTTCTGTTTGCCCTTCGCCTTTTCAGAAAGCTGCTTCTGATCATTGTCGTCGTCGCCATTATTATCATCGGCACGCTTCATCTTTTGTTTGCCCTTCGCCTTTTCAGAAAGCTTCTTCTGACCATCATCATCATCCTCTTCCTCTTCCTCTTCTTCCTCCTCCTCTCTCATATGCGGACATGACCTTTTGGCGCGGCGACATGGTGAGCATGCTGTTCTAGGTCTGCCACGCTTGGGCTGATATTGCAACAGTTAGTACAGGCATGGCGAAAGACAGTTTCTTTCTCTGAAAATGCGCAACAAACCTTTCCATTCTTCGCAGCTGTCGGTGCAGCTACCTTTGCGGTCGATGGTCCGGCCACTGAGCCAGGAGGTTGAGCAGCCTGCTTTGCAGCGGCAGGCACTTTTCCAGTTGATGGTCCGGCCACTGAGCTAGTAGATTGAGTAGCCTGCTTTCCAGTGGTGGGCACCTTCGCAGTCGATGGCCCAGCGGTTGCCTGCGCAGCTCCAGCGGTGGTAGACCTAGTCTGCCTCTTTTGGGCCGTTCCAGCAACCTTGGCACCGGTGTCTCCGGGTCCTGTATTTATGACTCGAGCCATGGTTCAACGAATGGTTGCGAATGTAGGAATAAGCTATTGTGGAGTTGGGGTATAGAGCTATAGTGATTGGAATAGTGGGCTGATAGTAGCTAGCTGGCTGTGGGATTGCTGTCAATATCCGGTGCGAGTCCCAACCGCCAGTCTATATATCCCAAAGATAAAGCTACTCGAGCCTTCAGCATGAGGATAACTACTATGTTAGCTCATTGAATCGATCCAAATACAAGGAGCTGAGACGAAAGTGATCTATATCCAGAACAACCTGAAGGCATAGCAGTCTAAATCCGACCGAGCTATATCGGGGCACAAGACAGGCCTTTGTTTGAACAAAGACAACAATGGTTTCAGCAATAGAGTCTTGAAAGAGTCATTGAACTTTTACCCAATCCTTTTGAATCCGTTGTCGACCCAAAGAACTAAAGCACTCCAGAAGACACAGTCTTTGTTTGTGCCAACCACACTCCCGAAACAGTAACCAGGAAAATCAAGGCCACAGCTCAACCTCCTCCCACCTCTCAGTATCCCCATCCCTCACAACCGTCCACCTCTTACGAACAGCATCCGGCGCCTTGGAAAGATCCAACATCTCCACCTCCTCGGGCTTGATGACCACAACGCGGAAATTCCGTCTCGCGACCGGGTCCCGCAGGTCCTCAACCTTCTGCCCGATCCTCAGCTCCGAAGTCTCCGGGTGCTTCGACCGCGGCTGTCCCGGCGGCGGGTTCCTAAACGTGCCTGTAGATTTTCACCCGTAACCCATTAGCCCAGCCCCTCAGAGCCGTCCAGAAACAAAGCAAGAGAAAAACAAACCTCGCATAACCGGCGAATGACTCGCAAAATACGTCGTCACCATCCGTTCCCAGTCCCAGTCTCCCTCGGCAATCCCCGCATCCTGCCCCCTAACCCCCTCCCAAACCCTCTTCTGTTCCTCTTCGCCACCCTCACCCCCGAGAACAAACGTCCCCCCCTTCACCCGCCACTGCACCTGCACCTCCTCCAGCCAAAACACCCCCTCCACCTGCCCGCCGCTGACCCCCAACTCGCCCACCTTCGCCATCCGGATATCCGTCGTGAACACGGGCATGTCGCTCTCCAGCCCGGAAGGGGTCCGGCCGATGCCCTGGGCGTCGAGCGCCGAGGCGGCGCTGGGGTGCAGGCTCAGCACCTCCGGGAAGAAGCCGCGCAGCTCGCAGGTGCGGGAGCGCGGGACGGGGAGGCCGGTGGTTGGGTGGTGGGTGACGGTGGAGAGGGTGAAGGATTTGCTTTTGCTGGAGGTTAGGTGGGTTTTGAGGAGGGGGGACCAGGGTGCTGGTGCTTTGGCTTTTGCTTGGGACATTTGGGCGGTGGTGGTGGTGGTGGTGAGGGGTCGGTGGGGTTGGAGTTGGACTTGGACTTGGAGGAGGCGGGTGAGGTGTTTGAGGCGGTGGTTTGGTGATGCCAGCTTGACTTTTACCGTTATGCTGTTGCTTTCGGAATGATTGTAGGGGTGTTGATTAAGGGGGGATTGTAGGAGGAAGTCGGTGGGATTAATAGGAATCAATTCAGTGGGAATCAGGGAAATATGGGAGGTGATGACGTTTTGACTATAGGACGGATGTTGTCGGGGCCTATCTTCACGTGAAGATATCTTATCTAATTGTGATTGTGCTGGCCTGACAATGGGACTGTACTCAGCACACATGCACTAGAGTAGCGAAATCCTGGCCAAACGATTGATCTGTCGCATACTCAAGCTTGAGCTGTAAAATAGCCAACCCTACCCAGTCCCCAACCTCTGAACCACAAGAAATCCATCAAATCAACCACCTTTACACAAGACCGCGAACCAAACCAACCAAACCAAACCACACTCCATTGAAACAGTATCGGTATACAATAAACCCACAAATACAACAGAACCCCCAACATGACTAAGTCTCCATCTCATCCCCACTATCCGCATAATCCACCGCACCGCCCGGTATCCGCCCCTCATTCAGCTCGCGCTCCAAGCGCGTGATCTCCTGCAGACTCTTAGCCTCGCGGATCAGCTTCTCGACGCGCTTACGCTCCCGGTCCGTCAACTTCACCCGCACCGCGCGGTCCCCGGCGCCGGCGGCGGCCCCGATCTGCTGCGCCGTGGCCGGCACGTCGAAGGTCCGCGACTTGACGCCCATGATCTTCGAAGCCAGCGCCGAGGGCTCCTCGGCCGTGCCGAACAGCTCCGTCGCCTTCTCGCGCTCCGCGTCCTTCACCTTCTGGTAGTCCAGGAACCGCAGGTTGGGGATGCGCCAGATGAGGTAGTGGCGGTAGTGCTGTGCGCGGCCAGACGATTAGCATGCTTAGCCAAGTCAACGAAAGACAGAAACCCCTTCCCCCGCCATACACCCAATCCCCTGAACCACACAACCTAAGGGAAAACTAACCTCCTTCCTCGTCACCGGATTCTCCAACACCACCAAATGCGTCAACCCGGTCAACCCGCGCAACGGATCCAGATCCGCCAGCTCCGCGACCGCGTTCGCCGTCAGGTTCACGGCCGTCAGGTTCGGCACCGACGCCGCCAGCGTTGATTGGATCTGCTTGATGCGGTTCCGCGCCAGGAGGAGGGTGTGCAGCCGCGGGAAGAAGGGGAAGTTGCCCAGCGTGGTGATGTCGTTGTCCGTCAGGTCGATTGCATCTTGGTCCTACGCCCGAAAATTCCCCGGTTAGCGAGGTCTTGACTTCTTGCACATACTGTCCATTGCGAACAACTGAAGGGGAAAGGCAAACTCACCTTGGCAATACCCAAGTTCTCAATCGCGGGGATCTTGTGCCCTACATACCACCAATCGCGCCAACAATTCGATATCAATCCAGCTCCTTTAGACAAGATGTAGTATCTGACTTTTCAGATTTCCCGGGGAGGTTGGGGGCCGTGGTTGGTTTGGGGCTTCAAAACGCACCTCGGAGATCTAGCTCGCGGTCCTTGAGCGGGTTGATGTACGAAAGGGAATTTTGGATCAGTTCGACGGTCAATCGCATGGTGGCGGTGGATGTGTGGTTTCGTGTTTGGAACTAGGGTATCATGCGCGTGGAAACACAAAGCAATGGATAAGAAGATCGGAAGGAAAGTGGATTGAACACGACAGCAAATCGCAAGCTTTTCGGTGGGTGGTGACAGACAGGATGAGTGTCGGGAGCTCCGTCCGCTGCGACTGGCCCTGTCCGGGCTTCACAATCACGGATGATTTTGCCAGGGCGGTGTGTAGTGGCTGACTCAGCTTTCGCACCTTTCGCACGTGACGCTCTTCTCTACAGTATCCATATCCAGATCCGAACAAGGTTTCATGAAAGTAAATGTTTGCACCTGGCATTGACTAAATCGGCTATGTCTAATACTTTGACAAATGGTTCGAACAGAGTAACTATGTACTCAAGAGCACGTGCTCCGACAATATCGTACCAAGAAGCAACTCCGGAAATTACACGGCCAACACCAATCCAAGTCCTGGCCTGACAACGCGGAACACCAACTCCTGGAAATGCAACACGGCGAACATAATCATAATCATACAGAAGAATCATTCATCTGTAAGAGGGGTCATGACTGGCGATTTATTGGGGTGAGATCGAGAAGGACTGCCAGCTCTGGACCGGCGACCATTCGTCGTCGGGCCCAGTGCCACCGGCGCCAGGTGATCCCTGCTCTCGGTCCTCACCACGAGACCATGCCGATCCATCGCCGAGACACCCGGACTCGGAGTGATACCGAGTCCAATAGTCCCTGAAGATGAGTTGTCCAGCGCATACTTGAAAGTGGGTGTATTGCTACCGCTTCCCCAGCTCGATGCCCGCTTCGGTGCCATGAATTTCGTGGAGTCCGCTTCCGATGGACGTCCCCCATCGATGGAGCTGCGGCTGGACGCCGTCTCACCGAGATCATAGGCAGCAGCACCATCCTCAAGAACGCGTTCATATGTGGGACTTCTCGGCCCGAAGAAAGGCAGCTTGCCGCCAAAGATTCTCCGTTTCTTGGGGTAGTTGGGGTGAGAAGGACCACCGCCACCGAAGACGTTCTGAATCTTGTGATACATCTTGAGTCGGCGGCTGCGCCCGCAGAGGAAAAATGCAGCCACAACTATTATAAGCAGGAAGAGAATGAGACCAGGCACTCTGCGGGATGGGCTGCTGTCGAGCATGGCGTCGCGCCATGATCCGTTGTGTGCGCCTTCAGGATCGGGCAGCAGCTCGGCACTCGGATATTGAAAGTCGCTAGGGACCCCGGCAACATTGCTGCCGAAGCCTACCGGAAGTGCCTCTTGAGCTTCGATAGGAATCTGCGAGGATGCATACAGAACCATTTTTCCGAGAGTCCAGCTCACTTCCGTGTCTTGAATCTTGTTGGCAGCCTGAAAAGAGTCCAGAAAGCCTTTGCTCTGACCATGGGACAACACCTCCTTGGTCCCGTTGTGGCTCGAGCTTTTCATTTCGTCCAATCCTACCCGAGGGATCCCAATGCCGTCATGCAGTACATTGATGATCCATGATGCCTTGAAGCAAACCTCGGAGGCTGATTCCCGATCGACCTTCTTGCCCCATTGATGGCTCTCAATTCCAGCCTCAATGCTCTCCCAGTCTTGAGAGCAAAAAGACTGTACGCGATCCTGGTAGGTGTGAAAGTCGTAGGCTTTGTCCTTGTGGCCCATCTCAAAGATCTCGTGAGTCGTATGCCAGTACTCGCTGATCCCGACAAAGTGGTTTACATCGAAGTCAATGGCTGGTACATGCACACCACGGAGGAGACATGGCTGGTCCGGACAAGGCGCATCTTTGTCCAGTAAAGGATATGTTTGACGCAAGCACTCGTCAAACTTTCCAGTCCCCAGTAGATGCATACTGTCGTCTTTCGGGAGAAGTGGCTTTCCATCGATAGTCGTACGCAAGCCTGCAGGTAAACAGGGATCCGGGAGCTCCGTGACTCCTCCAACAGCACTGGCCGCCTGCAGAGACTCGACGAAGCGCCTCCGAGCCTCATGCACCCCAAATTCCAGCCATGAAGTGACGAAAACCCTGTGTTCCTGGTCCGATCCGTCAATGTTGCGCAGCCGCAGTAGCGTCAGGTCGTTCGCGTGCTTTTCGCTCTCGGTCGCGTTGGGCGCAAATGCGATCTGTGCCGATGCGCCACCCATGTCCAAAAACCCATACGTGTGGTGACCCTTGCCGTGATCATGAGACCCTGGCGAATCGAAGCTTCCGAGAAGATAGTTCGTGGCAATCCAACCGTACAACCCCTCCGTCACTCCGGGGATAACCTGGATATGAACATCGCAGTCGGGAAGCAAGAAATCCGAGTTCGCGCCGACGTATGAGCAAATCTGCTCCAGCAGGACTTTCCGTTCGACATCGCCTAGCAGACGCATACCGGCAGTGGCAAGGAGAAAGACCGGGGTGTCTTTGATAGCATCGTCGGGTACGATTTCACGGGCATGTTCGAGAAGTTCCGCAAGATGTTCGTGTCCCACATCTTCTGGTTTGCTGGCGAAAGAAGATACTCCTATGAGCGATGAGATTTAGTCTGGAGTTTCAACCTACAAGCATCCACGACATCCTGGAAGTCGTACCTGGGTGAATTTTCTTGGTCCAATGGGATTTTGTTTTGATTTCCGGAAGAGACTTGAGCTTATCTCCATCAGCCTCTTTGCGAGCGATGGCGTTGTCTAACCATCGATAGACATGAACTCGAGTCCCCTGTCGAGGCATTAGCGAACGTAATCTTTATCGAGGCTACCGGGCTCTAACATACAGACGAGCCTGCGTCCAGGACGACACCATAGCGCCCTATGAGACCCTGCATTAGCACCCTGAAAATCCACTTCCGGTGGGGAAATGCGACCGGCAACTTACATTTGCCCATGGGGATCGCGACGGTGGTATTAAGATTAGTATTGTAGATGAGTGAACAGTCCGAGCCGCATGACCACCTTGGAGCCAGCGACAAGCGGGAGAATAGCGATTGTTGTCAGCAGTCGAAGGGGTGCAAAGCAAGGTGTGGATGTTGTGATCGCAATAGGTACGGAGGGCGGGCGGGGGAGCCGGTCGCAGATAAGGGAGATGCGACAGTCGACGGGAGGAACGGTGACAAACGAATGGCTCTTGCTACGAGGAAGCAAGATGGAGTAGAAAGTCAAAGGTAGAGGAGAACCAGAGATGCAATCCGAAAGTCAGAATTAGAGGTGGAAATGGACGGAACGATAGGAGTGTAAAGGGAGAAATGAGGAGTGGGGAGGTGAAGAATGGCAGGAAGAGGAGGAGGAGGAGGAGTCGGAAAGGGTGATGATTTAGTTTGGAGAGGAGGAAGACGAAGGGAAAACGGCCAAAAAGGTAAAAGGCAAAAAGGAAAAGTTGGATGAGGTCCGACCGATAAGACGGGAACGGATGCAGGAGGAAGCCTCCAAGCCTATCCGGGAATGGTCGGGAAGCGGCCAGACTTGCGTATACAAAAGGCAGATAATAGCCTGCACCACGTTTCCGAGGTCCCTTGCAACCTTAACCTGAAGGGAGTTCGTATTGAGCATCATGGATCGTTTCATGAGGTTAAGGGTTAATTATAGATCGATGATGAGATTGACTCTGATCGATGATCTTTACCAGTAGATGTCTTCTTCATTTTCATCCTCACCTACTTATATACACAGTACACAGTAGTTAGATAATTGCAATCTACTACACAGTAAGTAAGTTAGTATCTTCGGGAGATTAAGTGGAAGGGTCTCGGCCAGCCTGCCTGGTCCAAGAATGCAGTGAATCAAATGAATCCAATCAAATTGTGAAAATACCCCGGCCGGGGTTGACGTAAGCTCTGCACGCCTTGTTCCACCGCCTGAACCGGTGATTGGTTACCTGCCCTCCACAGCTGTCCTCCAGGCTGCCCCTCGTTCCACTGAGAGAGTCTGAGAGTCTGAGATCCTCTCCCATATCAACTCCATCTTTCACTTTGGTTGGACGCCTGACACCAACCAGCCATCTCTTTATTCTGGAGACCACCAAGCGACGTCGGATGTATCCGACCATCCATGGCTATCTGGTGACGATGACGATATGTCCGGATTTAGCTCCGGAGCTCCACCGTACCCCCTGCCAGGCTGTTGTCGCTCGACGGTGGTGATATGGCATCATTCCGCTTATCCGGCCCGAGCTTGACAGCTCACGCCCGGCTTACGTTCAACGATGTCAGAGCAGCAACACCCAATGATACCTTGCAACCATGAATCTCGTTGTGCAGTCCATGCAACAAGGCGATACGTGGACGATCGGAGGCCGCGCGTCTAAATAATCTACCACAGTGTTGCTGCTGCTGAATCTATCGATTTTCCGCAGTTACAGGCATAGGGATCGGCAAACACTCCGAAATCAAGTTCTTGCACTCAAACACAAAGATAAACAATACACACTGCACACTGCAGCAGGTCTATACCCCGCTCCCCTTCACCTGGCACTCCTCCTTCGTGATGGAGCCGGATGAATTCTGCGACACTCCGATCAAGGTAGGACTAGTACTTCCCTGAGTGATCGACCAGTCCCCGATTTGCTCGTCGAAGAACTCGGTCTGGTCCAACCCTAACAACTCGGCTTCCTCACTGACCCGAAGGTTCATGCCCGGGATGTACTTGAGAATCAGCAGCAGAGCGCAGGTCACCACGAAGGAATAGCTGGAAATGGCGCAGATCTCCGCGATTTGTTTTCCAACTTGCACTCCATTTCCATCGATCGCTCCGGGCGCCAGACTGCTGCCATCCAAGGCCGAAATCTTCTGGCTGGCGAACAAACCTGTCAGAAATGCACCCACCATTCCACCAATGCCGTGGAGTTTGAAAACATCCAAGCCTTCGTCGACACCGATCCACTCGTTAACGTTCTGAAGAAGGGAACAGACAACCGCGGTGATGAATCCAATGCACGCAGCGAGCCAGAACGACACGCAGCCGGCAGCTGGGGTGATTCCGACCAATCCGGCGATCGCACCTTCACAAGCACCAACTATTGAGAACTTTCCGCGATGCTTGATCATATCAACCAATACCCAGCCGAGGATACCTGTGCATCCGGCCGTGTTGGTGTTGAAGACGGCCACCATGGCACGCATGCTCGCATTGAGACTTGAACCGCCCTGCGTTCCTCGAATATTAGACTGTATGCACAACACGAGACCATGCGTGACACATACATTGAAACCAAGCCAGCCAGTCCAAATCAAGACGGTTCCCAGAAAGATGAGTGTAGTGTTGTGAGGTTTGCGGAAAGAAGGTGCTCCGTAATCCCTCCTTTTGCCGAGAATCAAAGCATAGGCTAAGGCCGAGACACCGGAAGCGATATGCACCGGACCGCCACCCGCAAAGTCAATGGCGGGAAGGTTGTACAGCCATCCGTTACTGCTCCAGGTCCAGCGAGCCAACGGGCAGTAGACGACCGTAGCCCACCAGAAGCTGAAGATGAGCGAAGGGAGGATAGCGCCTCTCTCAAACGTGCCCCCAACAACGATCATCACCTGTGGCTCTTAGCACTGACTATGCGGAGGCGGACTGGGACGGGAGTCTTACTGTGCATGCGCAAAAGAGCAGTTGGAACAGGCAGAACACCACTTCTGGCAGGACGGCCGAGCCAGGCGAGGGGGCTACAAGGACCTCCATCAAGCCGAAATTCTTCAGCGTGCCAATGAATGGGCCTCCATCTCTCGAGTAGGCCAACGAGTACCCCCAAAACAGCCATTGAAAGGTTGAGCTGCATAAGAATCAGCACGGGGGGTAACGAAATATCACATAGCACCTGCAGCGGGAGCGAACTCACACCGCAAGAACCATGAAAGCTTGGAACAGCAAGGCCATCGCAGACTTCCTCCGTGTCAAACCACTATACAACAAGCCGATCCCCGGCAGAATCATGAACACGATAAAGGTGCACGCGACGATGTAGACATAATTATATTCGTAACCCACAAACTGGGCGTTGACATCCACGGTGAGCGGGTCGCCGCCCTCGGGCATTGAGGCATTATAGACCGGCTATTCGGGAGAAAGATGATCAGTTTTGACATCAAGAAACAACAAAACATACTTGGGACCTCCCACTTACCGCAGCCATGTGGGACAGATTATACCGAGATTGTGAACAAGGGAATATATCCCACCACGTCCGGTCCGTTTCTCGTTTCGCTGGCAAGGGAAAGACACCCCCCACAGTATATATAGATCCACCCCCGGCCCCTTGCTCCAAGCACTCTATATGTACTGTCCGAACCTTACATCTTCTTGGCCTGACTCAATCCTAGCCACCTTTCGCGAGGCTCCACAGTTACTCCATTCCGATGGTGGGAATCCATGCCAAGCAGGATCCTTATCAATATCCCACTGAAAGCAGCAGAATGGGCTCTCGCAAGCACCTAGCCCTATCGAATGCCCTTGGCGCAGCGCAATGTTCCCCATCGCAACCAGTGCAGCGTGATTGATATGACTGTAATCGCCCACGGGCCAGATGATATCACAATGCCAAGACCAGGGATCGCCTGTATACCGAACCGATAAGGTATGCGGATCCACGAGCTATCGGGCTATGGTTGAATCGATTGGATCCCAGATGGTGATCCCGGATCAGTGCGCCTTCTGGGGTTTAGTGCATTGGACAGATTGATGCAGGGCCATGCGGTGATAAGGATCTTTCGTGGCAGGGTATCAAGACGGGATGATTGGCGAGAGATAACAGCTTTTGGGGAGAGATAGGGTTGGATGGGGTGGAACGCCACAGCGGTGGATTATTGCCTGGAAGGATCCAAGAGGAGATGGGTGCGTGGTGTGCCCAGAGCGGAGGGATGGTAGGGGTGATATATAGTCGCTGAGTGGTGGTGTGATCTTGTCTGGTCGGGGGTGGGCTAAGGGTGGTTGAATAGGTGCCTTAGGGGCTGTGCTGCTAGCACCGATGGACTATATACTAGATCAGACGTCGGCTGAAGTGCCTTGCCACGCTTTGCGATATACTGTACTGCACTCCGTAGCGCGACGATAGGATGAGGCTGTTTAGCTATCATCCGCTTCTGTTGTCCTACATGACGATCAACACTATCGCCTCCAGCTTCGACAACACCCCAGCACCGTATCATTTTATTAGAGACCAGGAAAGCAGAAACCTCAATCTGATAGTTACACTTTTTCCTCACTACCCATTGATCCTACATCGACCCTCCCTAATCCCCACCCTCACAGCCCAAATCCCTACCACCAACCCCAGACCCCTACGCCCCCAACAATAAGTATCTTCGCAAACATCCCACATCTACATAACCACAGACCATTGAAACAAATCCTCACCATCTCCACACTGAGCACAGAAGCCCCTCAGCCCTAGTCCAAATCGGCGTCCCCATCTCGTGAACCTCACCCCTCACCCCTCACACCCCAATAACCCAATAACCCAACAACCCAAACCCTCCTATCTATACCCAAGCATCCACATCCCATACCAAGATCCAACAGCGCAGATTGCAACACCACCCGAAGCCAATAATCACCTCTAATAAAAATGAAGCCATAGCACAGCACATCACTCACCACACCATCTTCCTCCCTCCGCGAAAACCAATACTCATCCCCAAACGTTCACCATCCAAAATAACCCCCCCCCTTTTCCCGAATCCAAACCCCAGCGAACAAGAATTCTCAATCCCCAGCCTTGGGAATAATACGCTCTACTTCAACAAAAAAAAAGCCCACTCATGGAGAAGAACATCCTCATCCACCTCAGCCAAAAGTCAACCTTCATGCCGCTTGCCGCTTGCTCTGGCCCGCCCAGAAGAGAAGGATCCGGCAGCGAGACGATGCATGATGAAGGTGTTAGACGTGGATGCGGATGCTTGAGTCCCTCCAGTGAACTAACATGAACCCTCGAGCTGCGGTGCTTTTTTCTCGGTTAGGTGGAAGGTGACTATCTGCATCTGTCCAAAAAAAAAAAAAAAAAAAAAAAAAAAAAAAAAAAAAAAACAAAAAAAATGAAACAAACAACGAAAAAACAACTAGGTTGAACGGTCCTACAGTACTCGCTCGTACTTCAGTCTGAGCGAGCGGATGAAGTCCATCCTCGGGATGATCAAAGGAGGGGGAAATCCGTGGGCGGTGAGCCGAAAAAAAAAAAAAAAAAAAAAAAGGTCAGATGTGGGGGTTGACATGAGATGAGATGAGATGACCGCGAAGAGAACCTGGGGATGGGGCTACCAGTATTGACCGGAAACAGGATTACTGCTCAAGTGAAGTGGAGAGTGGGGGCGATTGCGGTGCAGTTACAGGGTTGAGCCCATGCCAGTCTGTGAGCGTGAGCGAGACCCGGCCAGGATACAGATACAGTACACTACACTGACCATAAGGTTTATGTGGCCATGGGTACTTAACCACCGGTATGGCCGGTTTCAAGCAATTGGTATGTTAATGCACGGTGAAGTATTAAAATTATTCTCTCTGCTCATGTGGGATGGCAAGTTAAGTAGGTCTGAATCCATTGATATGCAAGATTTTCGAGGAATGTCTCAATGGGCTAGCTGAAATAGAAATTAACGCCCAAATAACTAGGCACCGATCAGAACCAGACACTCATATCTACGGGTAATCAGCCAGAACACGCAGCTGCCACCCTACGCCCTACAGCACAAATCCCCACATATTCGATCCGTCATTCTTACACCATGTGGGCCAGTGGGCCAGAAGATAGCCATGACAGCGCGCGCGGGGGTGGGAGTTCCCGAACCATGGTCGAACCGAACTAAGCGCTGCCGGGCCGGCCGGATCACCACCTCCCCATCAAACCTGCTCAGCCCCGTGAGGAATGTTATTTTGTCCCTGGACCGGGTACCGTTCACTCGTCGGGGAGTGCGCGCGCCCGAGCGTGCTGGCCTCAGAGAGCACCGAGGGTCGATGCATCGAGGAATCCCACGAGCCGGGGCCCAGCTTCGCCTCCCACTCGTTGAAGTCCTGGCCCGGGTTGACGGACTGGTACTGGAACAGCTGGAGGAAGGCAAAGAACCCGCACGCCAGCAGGCTGCCCAGCAGGGGTCCCACCCAGTAGATCCAGTGGTAGCCGGGGAAGCTACGGTTGATGACATCAGGGCCGAGGGAGCGCGCCGGATTGAGGGAGCCGCCGGTGTAGTAGTCGCCTAGTTAAGTAACAAGAAAAGCAAGGTTAATTTAATGCTTTTGTGCTTGGTTGATTGAGTTTGACAGGAGGAAAGAACTCACCAACCAGCTCCGTCACAAAGAAGACAAGCCCAATCCCCACCGGGGCCAAGAAGGTGGACTTGTGCTTGACCACGGCCAGCATGATGATCACGAAAACCAACTGGGCCGTCAGGAAGACCTCGATGAACAGGCCCTGCGAGATCGAGGCGCCCCCGCCCAATCGGGTGGCCACGTTCAGCGAGCCGGGGAACAAGGCGCTGACTACCCCCGCAGACGCGATGCCGCCCACAAGCTGGGCTCCAAAGACCGTCACCGCCCGGAACGGCTTCAGGCCGCCTACCAGGTAGAGTGCCAGAGTGACCTGTGTGCAACGACGGGGTCTCAGTCAACGGGGCTCTCCCTGGTTCACCAGATCGCCAAGACCTTGGGCCAGATTGTGTATAAGGATGATGGAACATACCGCAGGATTGAACAACCCTCCTGTCACCCGGTAGAAGGCCCACACATTGACCATGAGCGAGAACCCAAAGCACAGCGCCGAGTAGAGCAGATTGGACGTGTTCGGGAATGCGCCGTCGGCCGGCTTAGGGGTGTTGGCGACCTGCGTGCCCGCGAAGGAGAAGAACAGGAACAAAAACGTGCCCACGAATTCACCCACCCCGGCGACGAAATTGTTCCGCGCAGTGTCGGCCAGGTGCAGCATCGGCAACTGATTGCGATTGGGCGTAGTAGGGTCCGACGTCTCATGATTAGGAGAGGCGTCGGCCTTCTTTCGAGACCCAGGCACCCATTGAGGCATTCTCATATTCACAAATAGGAAACTTTCGAGGTCGGGGCGATGCAGTTAGCGTTCAAGGAAGAAAAGCAGGCCGTGCTATGTGCAATTGTCAGCTGCAACAAAGGTGTGTCCCTACATTTCCGTTATAAAGAGGAGGCCCCGTAGCTTTATAAGGTTCAAGCGACAAAGCACGGAGCTGCAAGCTCCCCCCCAAAACCCAGCTTTCGTCGACGTTACAGAGGCGTCATGACTTGTTACGCAGAAAAAGGCGCCGGCCGAAACCGAACGGAAGAGGTATAGTAGCCAGGGTGAAGTCCATCATACACGAGTCGATGGCCGAATCTGCGCGTAGTACCCAGACGAATGAGGGGGCAGGTGGTGGAAGATTCCATGGTTGAGGTCGGGTTGAGGTCGGAGGACAAACAATGGAAGAGATCTGGACCCTTCAACCCTTCAACGGTGGCGTTCCCTGGTGTCTTTATGTTCACGCTGGTGTAGTCATCATGGGCGGCTATGGGGGGATTCCCGGTCGACTCCAACTTTCCTCGGGCTTCGCCGATCTGAAAACGGACCGAGTGCATGCAATGCTGTGATGTTTGGGCACTCATCTCCACCGTTAGATCAATGGTGACATCGCAATTCAGGCCGGAGTTCTGTTGTTTGGACATGCGGGATGAGTCAGCTAATCAGGTGATAGGAGCCAACGTTTGCTGCAAAGAGTCGCTTTATGTGCTGGGCGGCATTGATCAGGAGAGAAAAATATCTTCAAGATTGGCATTGATTAAAGTGGTAAGTTATCATGAAATGGCATCGCTACCCACGACTGGCCGCATCGCTGACCAGTGACCGAGAAGCAAGCTCAGAACTAGATCGGATATTTTCACCTCCGCCGGAGACAAAATATGGACAAAGAAACACAATTTCGCGAGGATCAAGCATCCAGAGCTACCTCGAGGAGTTTTCCGAAGTTGGGCGATCCGAGGCCCGTCACAGGATCCCATCCTGCCGTGGCATTCCAACTGGCGAACGGTACAACGGGACTGCCGTTGGGCGTGCCGCCGAACCGATTACGTCCGTCACAACCCAAACTGCCTCCCTGAGTGATATCATTGAAACCCTCTCCCTCCACGGCAGCGCTGTAGAGCCATGGGTTCAGGAAACCGAGGACGGGTGATCCCGCCCGCAGTCTGGCATCGTTCAACAGAGCAACAAGGCCGGCAAAGGTGGGTGCCGAACAACTGGTGCCGTCAAACTGCCCGAGAGCACCCTTATCGTAGACTGCATAGTTGGTACCCTGGGTGGCGACGTCGGGGAAAGCGCGACCCGATCCGTTGAAGAGGCCGGCGAACTTCGGTCCCAGGTTGGTGAGGTAGTCGTTCACTGCTTCGGATTGGTAGGCGGGTTGAGCCCAGTAGTCAGAGAAGCCGCCAGAGGAGAAGTAGACAGCTTTTTCGGGGGAAGTCAGCGTAGTGGCACCGACCGAGGTGACCCAGGGGCAGGCCGCAGGGAACTGAGGGGGGAAGTGCGTGCGGTTAGTGCCGTCGTTCGTCAGGCAGGCAGCCCCAACACCCGAGTCGCCAGAAGAGAAGATTACGGAGACGCCACGGCTACCGAGCTGGGCGATGAGGTTACAGATGCTCAGGGCGTATGATTTGGGCACTGTCTATAGTAATGGTTAACTTCGAGCAAGGCCGAACCACGAAGAGTGAAGAAAGGCGCGAAATGCGACCCATAGGATAACACAGGATTAGGAGTTCGTACCTGCTCATCTTCGCCATATGAGGTCGAGATAACCTGAGGAAGCTCTGCGTCGGAGAGTTTGAGAACGTTTTGGAAAAATTCCAGGTACGGCTCGTTGCTATTATCATTCGGGTCAGGCGAGCTAAGGTCCGGAACAAGCTGGCCTCGGCCGCCGGTGCTGTACTCAGTCACAGGGAGTGGAGAACTCATGCCAACGATGTATTGCAGGTCGAGGTTGGCTTCGCCGCTGTCCTTGGTTGACTTCTGGTCGTCCAGGCCGCCATTGAATTTGACCACGGTAAAGTTCTGACCAACTGCAGAGGGAGCAAGTCTCTGTTCGAACTTGGCGAGATCGTCATACCGAGCATACTCTTCCAGATAGCTTGCGAACGCGACCTTACTGCCAGACTTAGCATCGGCCTGGTAGTCTCCCACGTTGTAAAGGTCCTTAAGGCAGTGAGGTGTGATCACCGAATCACACTGCGAGGTGTTCTGAGCGCGCACGGCGGACGCCAGCGACTTCTCGTCGACGTGCTTGGGCTTGCTACGCATGGTGGCTCTGTTGGGCTTGAGTTGGCCGAAGCGAGTGGTCGGTTGAATCATGTTCACATGCGGGGCCACTGAGTCAGGGATGGAGTAGGCCAGGGTGCGCAGTCGTCGGATGTCCGTGTTCTCGTTAACATACCATTTGAAGTCGGCATCGAGTAAGGAATTAGCGTCGGCCACGGTAGTGCGGAAGTTGATCCAATCGGCATCCTGCTCGATGTCGCTAACTCCCGCCGACTCAAGCCACTCCCGAACCGACGAGACGGCTTCGTCGGTAGGCATAAGCATGCGCTTCATCTCACTGTGGGTGCGGAAATGTCTTCCATAGTTGGCGTGTCCGGGTGTAGACATGTCCAAGAGTGCCTGTTCAAACCCAGCCAGATCGTGCTGCGAGAGAGCGATCTGAAGGCGCAGAGTTTCATGCCCGCGGGGACTACCAGAGAATTTCCAGCCTACATCACGGAGTCATAGTGAGTTTGAGATCGACTAGTGCTAGCCTTGCGGTCGCTGCTCGCTGCGTCGGTATCGGGGAATTGGAGTCGCTTACCTTGGGGAACTCCGGCTAGTTTCTCGAAGACCTCGGCTGCTCCGAGAGACGGAAGCAGCGCAAGGGCAGCGAGCGACAGAACTGCGCCATTGCTCAGTAGCGAGGGCAGCATTGTGAAGAGTAAAATAAGGATTAACAAAGACGAGGTCCAGGTGAAATCAACAGGGAAGGGAGGTAGATGAGGTGTATTTATTTGACAGCCAGCTGTGCAACGGAGCGGAGTGGAGCTGCATCTCGCGTGATAGCCTCGGAGAGAGGGGGAATGTCTGGGGTCCTTTTACCAGTCAGGATGCAATTCACTGAGTCCAGTGATGCCTGGATGTGCATGCCGATTTCCCCCATTTGGGAAGGTGATTGGCTCCGCCCGGTGGACCTGAAGGTCAATCGAAGCATGTTTTGAGGACGGACACCGTCGGACAGGCGAAGCGAGGACTCAGAAGAGAAGAGAGACAAGTCAAGGCTTAAGGCTTGGGGGGGCTTGGGATGGCTTGGAGGTTGGGAGGATTTGGGGAAGATCGTCAGGGAGGAAAGTCAGGAATGAACGCTGATTTGTTTGTTTGTTTGTTTCCACCGCACTCGCCAAGCCTCAGGCACCCACCATTCCCCTCCGCTCCCCCCTTCTGTTCCACTCTCCAATGTAACCTCATGATATGAGTGATTAATGCGAATCACAAACTAAGAGAAAAGAGGGGGAGGTGAGGAACCCTTCTCGGAGGATAATAGCAGTCACCTCTGCCGGACAAACGAGGATTAATGAAGAATTGCCGGTTGTACGACTCTTGAGTAACTGCTGGGCTGGAAATACTGCCAAGAGATTTATATTTGGGAACCGCCAATGACTATCGGGGATCTACAAACTCCACCACCGTCAGGGGATGGAAATCTCGCTTCAATCAGACAGTCTTGCAATTGCTGGTGCTACTATTATCTGATGCTTCAAAATCAAGAAGCCATCGCTAACCAATGCTACCATTATAATATGTACAACAGCCAAGCCATTATTGTAATCAAGCTGACCGAGATGATGTCAATTACAAGGATGGCCCCTGGACAGTGCAGCAAGGGGCACGGCGGGGAGATCGAAGGGATAGAATCCTGAACACGAGGGATGATACTGATTCAGATAAAGTCCATTGTTGACAAGGCAAGCGCCAGGTCCAGTTTTGTACACTTTGCGTCGGTTTTAGACCTTCATCTGACCCTGGGTGAGTGCTTCGCTAGACAAGGCCACACTTGTTCGGAAAAGGTTTCCCTCCAACGTCTATGCGCTGTTTCTGATCTCCAAGACAGAGCAGATCCTATGCAGGATATCAATATGTGAGGCTCGTTGCCCGAGGACCCAGTCGCGAGCCTATCTTTGGCTGCCCCAGCCAAGCATCCCCCCCCTTATCTCATTGTTTCCGACCCCCTCTTCTGACCTCCTCCCAAGGACTGCGTGTATCTCCGCCAACTTCTTCTCAAGCTCCTTTAGGTGTGCCTCACGATCAGTGGGCCTGCCATGGAGCGGAAGATATGGATCCTCGGAAGCCGGAGATTCCAGGTACCGCCGGAGCATCTCCTCGTTCCTGGTCTTCTGTGACAATGAAGCACTAGGGTCATCGCCTGTAGTCGCCATCGACGGATCAGAATGAATGGAGCGAGACGTTGATTTGCTAGTACTGGAGAGGTGCATGGATTGTGCGTCAACGAATGGTCCTCCCAGCGTGTGCAGTATCGCTGAACCAAGAGGGCAAGACAGGGACTTACTCAGGCATATTGAACCGTTCCAGTCCCGTCAGGCGCTTTCACGACAGGAAGACTATAAATACAAGGTATGATGGCACAGCAGATTCCCGTGACTTCTCGCTGGACACCGGCGATAGCTCTGCGGTCTCGATGAAGTCTTCCGGTGCTTGAGGGAAAGTAGCAGAATCAAGATGGTGCTGCATTGCGACAAGACACGCCTGCCCACCTTCTCATCCTCCTCCTAATATATCCATGTCAATAAAGACCATCTGAAAGACAGCGGTGAGAAAGACTCAAAGCTGGGATATCTGACAAGGGCTCATTCAGCCTCACAACGATCACTGTAGAGGTCTAGATGGAAAAACAAATCATCCCAGAGACAAGCGCGCAGTCTGTGAGAAGAGCAGGCAGCAGCCGTGTCGCGAAGAGGTAGCGAAAATTGGTAGACAACAAGCATTGTGTGCTTGCGATAGTGCGCTTGGCCTGCACGTCACCGAATTCACATCACTGCTGAAGTTCGCACATCTCTGAAGCCTGCGATGCTTCGCGGTCGAACCTCATGCACGATGCGAAGCTCAGACAGCCCGGGCGTTGTGGAAATGACCATGGCGGGTCTAGACCCTTACGGGTTGAAGGCATCGTGATTGTGATGCGAGGCAGGCGAAGAGGTGACATAGCCGCGGTCCTGGGGATCTGTGTTCAGGGTCGGTAGTGCGCAGATTGTGCATATTAAGAGGATAATGGGAAGAGAAAAACAAAACAAGCCGAGTAGTCTAGAACCTGGAAACGGCCTAGATCCTAGGACATGGAGATGGTCTAGATTCGGGAAGAGAAATCTGGACCGGTCGGAGTTTGTGGAAGAGGTGGGGGGGGGGGAGTTCTGTCAATTTGCTTATCCAGTTGGAATATCGCTACTTTTATAAAAGCAGTATATAAACTATCGACATAGACTTTAGAATATTTATAGATTACTTATAGAGTATATATTGAATAAACGTTAATTGTTCCTAAATTATTCAAACTATGTATCACTAACCCATTTGACGCTGATTGTGAGAGTGATGAGACGGGTCGGTTGAAGAAGCTGTAAAAACCGACCTGATGCATCATCCTCCGGTCATCAGAATGGCATCGGAGTACATTGCGCGACAGAAAACGATGACCATCGCCGAGTATGCCAGTCTCTGGAAGCAGAGCGAGCAGATGGGCCGGGAGGGGTCCAACGACTCTGGGAACGGTCAGGAAGATCGCATGGTCCATCACATTGTAGGCAAAGCGTGGATCATCTCCGAAGCTCAGGGGCCCTGCCGAATCTCACGGAAATCGCCTTCTTCGCGGAGAAGAGCACCCCCGTCTCGCTGCTCCAACGGCAACCGGGCCAACTCCCGCTCCGAGAATAGCAGCGACAGCTCCATCGATGTGTACCAGCTTGTGCAGCGTGCCATGCGCAACTGGCTCTTCCACCAGGAAGGCCACGGCGGCAGGTCGAGGCGCTGGCTGGGCAGCTCCCATTCCCGGCGCCGCAGATACACTGGGCGGTTCGGGAACAGCACCTCCAGCATGCGGAGTCCGTCGTGCAGCACGTCGAGCTAGCTACAAATAGGGGGGCTCAATTAGGCAAATAGGTCTTGAATTGAATCGAATATATTGACTTTGGGTTACAGACTCTTTGAGGGATTCTGATCGGACAAGTCTGTTCCCATCGGCGGTGGCTTGTAGAGACAATGGTACGCATCTGGTATGGATGCTGGCGGGGTTGAACAGCCCATGGACTACCTTCGATGCCTCCTGTGTCGAGAATCCCGACCGACGACGCTGTACGCGTAGTATCTGCCCCGACACCGACCTCAGCCGGCGAACCTGATCTCCAGTCTGGACCAAACAAAGTCTGCGCAACCACATTGCGCGATCGCATCCGAAGGTTGAATTCTCCGAGGACGAGATTCAGCTACTCTGGAAATGTTTTTATTTTACGCACAGCACCCGTTCCCCGGCGTGCCTAGCCCGCAGAAACCCAAGGAGAGGATTGACGCCGACGGGTTCCACCGCGCGGTGGCGCTGCTAGCGCACTAGGGCACGAAGCTTCTCGGAACACAAGAGAAAGAGGACCATTTCTGGCGCCAGGATACTGCGTTCGTGCGGAAGGGTCACATCGCGACAGTCCTGCGGAGTATCGGGCGATCCGACTGGAATAGCTTCTCCGCGGATACGGCGCCGGCGGTGCTGAGCGATGCGGTGGATGTGCTCGCGACGACACAGCCGTATGCCGTGGGCGTGGCGCCGTCGCCAGCGCAGCTGCAGGCGGCGGCGGGGCGGTTGTTGGTGGAAAGCGGTTCGCCGGTGCGGTACTTGGTCGGTCGGGGAGAGCTTGCGCGCTTGCTGGGCTTGGTGCTGCAGTTGAGGACGTCGCCGGGGAAATGGAAACGGGTTCATCGCTTGGAGGGGTCTGTGAAGGCGGGGCCTGTGGAGGAGAGGATTGCTGATGCGATGGCTGTGAGCATGATTGCTGATGGAGAGTTGGTGTCGGCAGAAATCGTGGATCTGGTGATGGATGCTCCGGTAAGTGATGGGTTTATGCCAACATTTGGGTGTAGTCGCTGACAATATTAGCCAAATCTGCTGTCGCGCTTTCATCAATTGTGAGCAGCGCTATTCCAGCCACAGTTGGCAGACGACGATGCAGTATTTGAGCAAGTTGATGATATGCAGTCCCGGCTGCTGGCAGCGGCTTCATTGTTCATTCCGTTACCTGAGGCATCAGCGCATCTCCTCACAACATCATCGAATCCACACCTGACCCTCAAACGACTCGAGGCAATCCAAGAGCCCAACGTCCTCACATCACATCACCTCGCTTCGTGCATTCCCTGCACAGAGACCCGTACCAGCACCTCATTTGGGCGATTAATCAAGACCTGTCCGACAATGCCCCAGCAGTTGTCGTGGGAACTTTCGTCCCCGGACCATTATGCACGAGTCTCGACAGCAGCGGAAAGCAAAGCCCCAAGACCGGAGACGTCCATCTCCTCTTCCAGCTGCAGCCGGAGTTCCGACTTCTCCGATGGGAGAAGCCACACACACTGCTCAAGACCTTGATCAAAACCAACTACGAGCTGGCCTCGCTCAAGAGCGAAGGAGCAGAGGGTGCAATCACGGAGAGCGCTATGCAGGCCTATATCATCGGCGACCTCAAGAAGGCGCGAATGCGCATCAATCCTGCAACTAAGACAGTCTCCATGCACGGCTCAATTGCGTTGGGAACCTCAGACAGAAAGGGACATAGAGATGTCACACTCTGTGGGTCAAGAACTGTAACGGAACGTGTTGGATCGACTTGTTCTCGGTCGTCTAAGGGACGCGGAGTTCGACTGGCAGAGGGCAGCTTGGGAAAGAGGATGCCACCGGGATCTGAGGGCCCCTCCACTCGCCCCCGCGGTCCAGAAATCCAGGCTTGGAGCCCACCACTCCAGTCGGAACCCCCGAAGCGCCGTCCACAATGTGTTGTCCCCTCCCCACCAGGATATTTTCTCTCAGATCCGGGAATGGGGACACAGACAACGAGCATCTCGTATCCACGGTCGCTCTTCCTTACTTCACCGGGTGTTATCGGTCCAACCAAAGGGAGGATCTAATCACGCACTTGGATCGAGAGACAGCATGAGCGAGGTTGTGGCCGGTCTCGAAAGGACGGATTCGAGACAATGTGATACATCATACATATGGACCGAATTATACTGAGTTCGTCGAGGCGTGCATTAGTGCACGTCGCGGGGCAGGGTGCAGGGTAGTCGGGAGCAGCACCACGAAAAGCAAAGTGCGAGCGGAGAAAAACCTGCTGGGGTGGGAATGAATATGGGGATTCTCCCAATCCGAGATTGAAGAGGAATTTTACATCAATTCGCGTCATGGTGTCCTTTGAAGGGCCATACAGCCTTTTTGTTTTTGTTTACCTGCAAGTTCGGGACCGGATGCAGTGTGCAATTGCCCCCGCTTCTGTTTTTTGGATGGTCCTGTGAGAGAGTTCGCGGGACGGATCGGTGGGAAGAAGCGTCCACCGTGGATAGGGTTCTCTGGAAGAAACACGCTTTGACCTCCATGAGAACCCTTCTCTTTTTTTTTTTTTTTTTGGATTTGATTGGTACCGGGACAAGCCCGGCCGAAACTGCCCACCGGAATTTGTTGTCTTTTCGAAAGTCGAAGCTGGTGGCCCCTCTTTCGGAGAGAAAAATAGATGGTGTGGGGACAGTATCATCGGCGAACCGTATGCCTTCCTCGAACAAGACGTCATGTTGAGGTCGCAGGAGGCGGGGCAGGCTGCAGATAGTGATTCAAAGTAAAGTAATATGCGTACGGGCCAAATACATGATTACCTGACGATAGCTGCATGAGGCCAAACGCAGCGGGGCTGGCGGGACCCTCTCAGGGCTTCGGCCGGGCCGATCCTAGGACGATCCAGTTCAGCCCATCAGGATTTCCAGCCAAGCCCCGCGCCGGTGGAGACCGAGGCGCCAATAGAGCAATGCAAGCATCATCCCGGTCGACTCTGGAGTGAGTTGGCCTGGTTTGGATCCTGATGCAGAACCCCTCAATCTAATCTATTTGACGGAGATCTCGGTTTACCCCGCACGAGCTTCAGACCAACCGAACAGGGCCTCGATGCTGGGCTTTCTCACGCCACTCTGTTACATGCGGCGATCGTTCTCAGCTGTTCTCCGTCGGAAGAGTGAAACAGAGCTCAAAACCTGCAACGTGAGCTCATCGCGCAGAGACTGGGCCTAAATAGCGTGCCGAGGGTTGTCGAAGAGGAGGGGGGTTATGGCGCCAGAACTGCCTGTGGTTCCGCACGAAGCAATTTGACGCATCCCAACCGGTGGAAGAGCACCCATAGCTTGGGAAGCAGCTGAAGAATGGGTCTTTTGTCCTATAAATTTGTCTTTTACCTCTTCGTCTAACCCACCCACAAGGGATTCCTCTTTCTCGATCATTTTGTTTGTCTCCCCACTGCAAAGACTGTTAACGCTCATCAATTACCTCGGACCGTCCTTCGATCGATATGTCTTTGCTCAAGGATCTTACTTCTGGTGTAGCAAAAGGTGTGGTCGGCACTGCTAAGACCACGACTGATGTTGTTGACGACAGCTTGGGCAAGGTGCAAGACAGTAGGTGGGCTTCCTGTCAATGAAAGAAGACGTCTCTAACCAGATTGTGTCTCCCTAGGTCTAGATGGCAAGACCACTACGCAGACCAGCACCGCCCCGGAGACGACCACCCAGGGGGACACCACAAAGACGACGACCCCGGCCGTGAGGGGCAAAGTGGGTATGTGACCGTCTGACCCTGATAGACCATTGTGACCAGCTGAAGGATTGACTCTCCCTAGATCTGGACGACAGCACCGCTCAGCTTTTACATGTGTACTCCTATAATGGCGAGACCAAGGTCATCAAGGAGAAGACTGTCATTCCCTTCAGCAACGTCGACAAGGAAGGCCTCAAGCTGTCGGATATTCGCAAAGTGCTGGTCAGCGAAAAGTGCTTGGAACCTCGGCTGTGAATTATCCCCGGCCCACTGTTCACCGATCCAGATGTGGCATGTACTGACGGCGAAGCAGCCTGTGGAGCCCTTTCATCAATCAGCGTGGTGCCAAAGTCAGTGACGAGACCACCTTCAAAACGTACCTTCGGATTTTGAATGAGAAGGTGAGCGCAGATGCACCCCATCCTGAGAAAGAAAAAGCCATAGGCCTAAACAAGTCTTTTCACCATAGTCAAGCGAGACGGGCGTGAGTCTTCCCAACGTAAATTTCCATGTCGCGTTACTCATAACTGGACAGGATTCCATCGAGGATAACAGCGATACCTACCGTGTCTACCTGAAGTCCAAGAAGATCCTCGAAACGGGTATTCAAAATGGCCTCCTGGATCGAGGTACCATAGTGGAGGTCGATAAGAAACTCCCGCAGCTGCCGGTTGCGGCACAGCCCAAGACACCCGAGGTGCCGACGAGTTTCAGCCACAACATCTTCCTGAACCCCACCACCACCTTCAGCATTGTGTGAGTGCCACCCGCCAAGAGAACCAAGGATGTTGAACTAACGACTCCAGTCACCCTTCGGATATGAATGAAAAGCAATGGTCGGCCACCTTGCGATCGAATTCCTTGCTGCACGCCTATCGAGTTGTCGACGAGGGAGGGGACAAATACGTCGAACGCTCATTGTATCCGAGTACGCGAAGGCTTATGAGCTGAATCAGAACCCATCCTTGCTGACCAAACCACCTAGCCTTCGTCCTGAAGCCCCGCAGCTTCTGGAACTATCAGATCAGTGCCACAGCCGAGATCGACTCCATTGCCGGGCAGAAGGTAGCTAGCCTTGCCCCCCGCGAGTCATTGATTTATTCCGCCTGGAAATCTGATTGACACGTGCACTCTATAGCAATCGCTGCGAATTCCGCGATTCCGCATTGCCGACGACAGTTACATCTCTCAATATGAGGCGAAGAAGTCGGTCGCTCGAGCGATCGCGCAGAACTCGCTATCTGAGACCTCAGCTGAGATGGCCATGTATGAACCCCCCCCCCCCCAAATCAAGGGCCTGCATGTGCTTGTTGGGTAGCGAGCTGACATTACCCGTTACAGTTCAGGAGGGGCCTTTGGCTACAGTGCCAGTGCATCGGCGAGCTGGGGTCAGACCCAGTCGTCATCTTCCACCTCCAGCACGAAGCAGGATAGTCGGGTGATGACCATCACCTATAACGTGAGCGCCGTTGAATTCGTTTACTTCACCCTCACGGTAATAGCTCTAAATCCTGTGGTTCTGAATAGTTTCCCCGAGTCGTCATCGATTTCGAGCCTGCCGGTCTCGACCTGAGCGAAGAAGCGAAGGCGGATCTGCAGGCGGTTGACAGCGCCGAGGCCGTCGATATCTTCAAGGCAAAATATGGTGAGACTCCGCATCCTTCTGCGCAATACGAGAAAGCACTCTCTGACCAGGGTGCCCGTCGCAGGTCGCTTCTTCCCCACTCGCGTCCAACTCGGCGGTCGGCTACACGCGAGCGAGGAAAGCACCAGCACCGACGCGGCTTCTACTGCCGCGCAGGCAAAGTCCATGCGGGCGGCCGCCGCGCTCTCCTTCTCCTCGCCCTGGGTGCAGGCCTCGGCCAGCGTCAGCCACAGCAATGCGTCCAGCTCCAGCTCCGAAAGCAAGGACAGTTCCTCGATCAGCACCATCTCATGGGAGGCAACGGGTGGAGATACCCTGCAGAGCAACAAGTACGTGTGCCCCTGCCATGGGAAAGCTCGAGGTACTAACCAGCTCCCGATCTAGCCCCCCGGCATGGGCCTACACCGTCGGCTCATATTACAACTGGCGTCCCGTCAAGGTATGAAAAACCCGATGACGCTCCAAGCCCTTTGTCTCCGTGATGAACTTCCCTCTAATCTCATCTGTTTCCGCGCCCCAGCAAAACAAAGTTGTGGCCCTCGAGGACCTCATTTCCAAGTTGCCGGGATACCAGGACACGAAGGAGCGATTTGCCGCCCTTCTCGCGGCGCGGGACAACGCCGCGCAAGGCGACACGTCCACGCCGTCGGTCTCCATTGACAAAACGATCAGCTTTACCCTCTTCGACCTTGAGGAAAAGGCGCTGTCCTTGCCTGCGGCGCCTACGGAAGGCAATAGTTATGGTACGTCCGGATGCCATCACCTTGGCAATCGTTTTAGATTCCACAGGAAACAAAGTGGACAAAGCACACGATATGCTGACATCCCGTTTCCTACCCATCGCAGACCAAACCCTCAAGACCCTACAAACTGTCATCAATGACAACAATGCGGGCGATCTGCTCACGTCGGAACGCCTGAAGTTCTTGGGAGAACTCTCCTCGCAGCTGAACCAGAGCGTGCCCCTGCAGTTCGACAAAGAGGGCACCGTGGGCGCGGCGCAGGTATTCACCATTACCACCAATGACCTCGGGAGCACGGGCAAGGTAAGGTCTATTTTGGTTCTCACTGTCCTTCCTTCCTTCCTTCCTCTCCGCTCTGCCCATAACCCGGGGCGGCTCTTATGATGGAAGCCTTATACTCATCGCGAACCAGCTCCGCTTCAACACCCCGTATCGAATCCGTATCGAACCGGACACTGACGACAAGATCGCCCCGTACTCGGTCGGCGTCAATCCCACCCTTTCGGGCTACATGAGCGAAGCTCTGCTCTGGGCTGGCCCCAGGCAGCCTGCCACCCTGGTCGAGTTCAGCACCCCGGGGCTGATGGAGGGTGAATCCCGCGAAATTCGGGATGAGGAGACTTTTATGCTTGGGCTGTATGGCAAAGAGAAGAACCCGATCGGGTTGGCCTCGCGGTATCGACCACTAGAGGATCTTCCTGACGTGGATGAGGATGACAACGATGATAGCAAGAAGGTTCCCTACAAGCTGGGCGTCGACGTGGACCGCGGGATGTCCTCGCCGTTCGTTTCTCGTTTCTTTCTCAAGTACGTCTGATTTGGACCGAGATGTCCGTTCGCAAGAGCCAAGGTGCGGATGTGGGAATAGATATGCTTGCGGAGGGAGAGCATTGTTCTGGGCCTGGCTAGGGACAAAGTTCTTCGTTTGTCTTGTCCCTTTGTTCGCTCGGGTGAGACTGTCCTGCTCGCACCGAGGAGTACAAACGATAGTGCCTATCGCCTCCATCGCATCCATCGAGAATCTCCAACATTATCTCCCTACCCCGTAGATTTTGACTGTCTTCATCGTGTAGTGGTGTAATCCTAACGATCCCACGACGAGTCTGCGTTGTCGGGCACAACAGTTAGAAAGACAGGACCCCGTAGAAAGCAGTTTGCCATTTGCTCTGACCACTCCTGTCTTCCTTGTAACGCTCAAGTCATCTGTATCGCACTCTTAGACCGATAACGGTAGCTGTGGCGCTTACCAGCTTCTGGACACCGTTCATGGTGGTCCTTGATCAACAGCGCCAAGTTGGATCTAAAGTAAAAAGGGAAATTCGCTCGATTTTCGCCGAAAATCCAGTTTATTAGTCAACCAGTCAGACACGCCAACTTAAGATAAGGCTGGGTGGGAGGGGAACGGAACGGGAACGGGAGTGGGAGTGGGAGAGGGCAAAATCACGGTGGGTTGGTGATGCACTAAGGTAGGTACGGCAAAGGCTGGGCGGGGTTGGCGGTGCCCGTGTGACCCGTGACCGACCGGATGGTTTATTACCCCCATCCGGACTCAACAACAATACTCTACACATAAGATAAAAATCTACTGAGATGCAGGAAGAATTTTTACACCAGGGAGCACCAGATCTGTAGATCAAGAGGGAGGATGAGATTAATTCTTAATGACTTTTATCCCGGGTATATCAAGACTCCGTCCAAACCAAGCCGTTGTTCCATATTCGCCATCCACGACAGGAGAGGGGTCTCAGACCCAAGATAAAAAAAAAACAAGCTTATGAGAACAAAAGAAAAGGATCATAATATATTATACAAGAGATTCGTGACGGTCATAGCAGAGGAAGGAGAAAGCCTAAGCCTCACGGGCGAGAAGGAAGAATTAGGCGTGAAAGGCTTCGGCTCCCTTGTTGTGTCGCCACATCCCATTGGGGAGCACGTTCTGTTTCACCATGGCCAGCTCCTTCTGGAGGGCCTTGTTCTCCTCCTGCAGCTCCTGCATGAAGGCGATCGCGTTGGTGAGGATCTCGGACTTCTTCAGCGACGCCGACCCGCCCTTGGTCGGCTTCTGGATGCCCCCGCTCATGGCCTTCTCCAGGGCCACGAACTTGGCGTTCATGTTGGTGCGGTACCGCTTCTCGATGATGTTGTGGGCGGCCCGCTTGGCGGCGTTGCGGCCCGTGGCCGTGTTGGCCGGGCCGGTGCTGGCGTTGGAGTCCCCGGACATGCTGCGTGTCGTCTTGCGGGTGGTGGTGACCGGGGACGAGGGGGCGGGGAGAGGAGACACGCTGGCAGCGGGGTAGTCCTGCGGTGTAATCTCGGGACTGGACGACCATCTCGGCACCAATTCGTCGCGGGCCTTCTGCTGCTGGGTTGCAGTTGCAGTCTTGCGGCGACTGGCACTCTTCGCGGTTCTCGAGGCAGGCTTGGGCAACTCCATGGGCATCGAGTCCAGAGGAGAGACACGGCAGGTCGGGGACCACGACTGATCGTCACTTTCGAGGTCCTATCGATGAGATGTTAGTCTCCTAGACTCTGGGGATTTCAGCTGTCGATTAACATACCGAAGAAAGAGAGCCGCAGGAGGCAGCATCTTCGCCAGAGTGGTTGGAGATCGTGAAACCGCTGATGTCGGGAGGCGGGGCGAAGAAGTCGGTGGGAAAATCCTTGGGATCCAGAGTCATCATGTCATTGGACATCTCCAGAGGGAAAGACTCGGGAATCATCGTGTTCAAGGAGAACAGATCAATCGCGCTGTCGTAGTTCCAGTTGGCCGTCAATGGGTCGGGACCCTTGGAGAACGAGTCGTGGGGACGAGAAAGTGGACTTGGTTGACTCAAGAACATCCGTTCGTCCTCCGGTAATGTAAAGGTTTCGGGTCTGGTGTATGCCATTGTTTGTTGTTGGTGTGTCTTCGTGGAGACTGGGAAGACAGGTGCTTGCGAGGTAGATCGGTGTAGGTGGTAGTCGACGATGATAGAACAGATATCAAAGTCGAGTGGCAAAGATTTGCAGATTGGATTGTAGTATGTAGGAAGCTTCTGAATATAGAACCATGGATCTGAAGGATCATGAACAGAGAGGCGCTCGGGGAGGGGCTCTATATAAAGGCAGATGAGAATTTCAGGAGAAGCCGGTGTTGAAAACCGATCCCTAGACCAACCGAAGCCAATGATGTAATGGCAGGTAAAAAGAACCACAACAATTGGCAAAAAAAAATTATATTCCCAGAAAAAAATTAATATTAATCAGGATGAAGAAAAGAGAGGGGAAGAGAAAAAAAAAAAAAAAGACGAGGCAGAGAACGCAGTGACCAGTCCTGTCAAACCGATTATTGCACAGGGCCGGTGAAGCACAGCCGAGATCACCCCAGCCGGATGCAGAGCATCCATTCTTCCAGACTGACTGACTTGACTAGGTTGATGAGGGAATGACTGACTTGACTGACTTGACTGACTTCGACTCGGCCGGCTCCGAAAGACAGCCGTCCGTCGGATCATCCATTGAGAAGCAGGGCAAAGTTCAGCAGTACCTCAGTCGGCAGTGATTTCCCCATAGTCTATTGAGGTCACTGGTACGGGACAACCCTGTGACGGACCTGGCAGACAGCGACGGCAATGGCCGCCGTCGCACTGAGACGGAAGGCAAACAACTCAGCCTGGAGGGCTAAGGTATCCTTACTACAGTACTTTGTACTAGGTGACTTACCTCATCAGGAGTGAGTCCTTTGCCTCGAGGCTGTGTGTGTACGTGTATTCAGGTATTCAGTAAGGTAGTCTATGTGAGTGAGTGAGTATCTGAACGGTAGACTGACTGACTGACTGTGGAGGAGGGGGAGAAAGGGAGGGGAGAAGGAGGGAGGGATCGGGTGAAAGTGGATCGATCGATGATGCACAACCGTTGAAACTTCTCAGCTCCAAGTGGGCGACAAAGGGGAATCTAGACCTGATTGGTATCCATGGGAAACCTCGGGTGGACCCGTGATCGCCTAAAGGGGCAAAGGTGGTTCTGCCAAGTTGTCCGGCGGCCGAGTCTCGGGTCCGAACAATCGTTGTTCGGCCGGAGGGCAAACTGTTTGGAATACCTACGTGCACTCGTGCAGTGCAGTGCAGTCCAGTCCATGCACTGTAAGTTACTGCTCACGGAGTATCAGACTGGCAGGCAGATTCTGCGTGCAGAGTGCAGACGCAACGTTGCAGGGGAGCGAGCATGCAGCGGCGGAATTGATTTTTTCCCCCGAGGCCTGGTTAGGTTGTCTTGGATTGATGCACTTGAATCGTGTCTCTTGCCCCTTTGAGGTGATTTTACCCGTCTTCACAACAGAGTCGATCTGAGGGCTGATGCAGAATCTTTCCTTCTCCGTTATCACGGCAAGCCCGTCATAATCCACGATGCTGCGACCTGGCACGCAGCTCGGTAGTTGTCAAAGGGATCATGTTGAATGCATTCTCTTCCGTAGTCATGCCTTCGGATTCAAAGACATCCCCGGCGGAAATGGGCCGCAACAACCCGTTCTGCTTCGTTCTTTGCCCGAGGGTGCTGTGATACGTACAACTACACGAAGCCTTCAGTCCCAGTCCGGATTGCAAGGCGATCTGTACGGAGCAGGATGGATGGAAATCTCGACTAATCCGAAACCCCCTCGTACTTCGTTTTTCTTCGCCTACACGAGTCGGGAACCGATCTGTATCACATTGGCAGGATTATTTATCGATCCATCCACCAATGGTGAGGCTACCATTGACAATTCGCCCCTGCGGTGCTTTTGTCCCTAGTCCGGTGCCCAACTGGTCGAGGTAAGGTACTGGCTGTACCTAGTTAGGATTCTCTCCCTACCCTTCGTTTTCTGCCTGTGTAGTCTTCAATGATGACCCATTATTGTCGTGGAAACATCCTTATGTCCATGGTGGAATATGCAATGCCATGCCTATCTTGTTATTCTACCCGATTTCTCTTTCAAGCGAATAAGACTTGAGATGATTGAGCATTATTCTTCCGGGCGGGAATCAACTCCTGATTTAGATCACGGGGCACACAGACCAAGGCAAGTGGATCGGTAACCGTCCGGGTGGAGCAAGTCTAGAGTCTAGACAAGATGGCTGCCTTTATGACCAGCATGTTATACCTTCGGTTCAGACAAACACACACACACACACACACCCCCTCATATATGCGCGCACGCACAAAAACACAGCCGAGGAGCGGAGTCAGCGGAAGATCCATATCGATTATCTGTGCTCGATGACATTAAAGACCTTGTCTATGCTCTGCTTTGTTCCTCATCTTGCCCTTCCTAGTGACATAATGATAAGCAGCCCGATGATGAATGTGGTGTCAGGGTGGATTGCAGTGACGTCTCGGAAGTCCCGAGTCGGAAATCATTATGGATGACGGACAGCTAGTACAGTACCTTAGTGACCCCCTCCTGCCAGATCCTGATTAGAACTCTGAGAGAGAGGGGCTCGGCTCCATTCGTGCGGCAAGGTACCAAGTCCCGTGCCTACGCATCGAACTCGTCACTTTTGACAGTTTTACTCCGGAACCACCAACTCGGCATGGACCATACATAGAAGAATTAATTAGTTCACAAATATTGCTTAATCTGGTTAAGTTAGGTAAGCTCAGCCATAGACTGAATTTGGAACTAAGCAAGCAAGCTATCCAACTAAAGCTCAATTGACGAATGAATCGAGCTCGAAATCTCCGGCATGCAACACGGCCCCTCCCCAGCAGTGCGGACGGACGCTAGTAAATTTTTCGGCATCCAGCACTGGAGAAATAGCCTTGTCGAGTTAGAGTAAGGTTCAGGGCCCTCCACAGCGGATGCGCCTTCACTAAGGTAGCCAGGCGGACCGGATGCCGGATCCCAAGGGTTTGTTGCGATGCCACCCAGTGGTGTGATCCGGCATCTTCAGAACCCTTGAAGCTTCCTCGTTAGTTTCCGACTCCCCTCCTCCCCTTCCCAAATCTGTGACGTGAGATCCCCAACCAAAATTGAAGCCTTATTATTTTCGTCCCCGTCGGAAGAAACCGTCAACCTTGTCTAGAGAACAGAGCCAACGTTGTCCCAATCTGATACTATTGTCCGAACGGCCTGATCGCCTCGTCCCCGTGGCTCAGATGTCGTGTTGCCAGCAGCTGACTAGTTAGTATCATGTCCCTTCGGTTCAGGTGCTTCCGGCACACGAGATGGTCATGATACGAGATGAAAGGCAGAGGCATCGTTTTTGAGCATACATTATCCCCCTTTGGAGGATCATGATAACTACTTAGTAGTTCCTGACCACCATTTTCTTGATCCGGACGAAACTCGGATATGTCAGTCTGGGTGTCAGCCCTATGCCTCTCTGCTACCACTCACAGGCCACACAAAACCTATTCCAGAATTATGCGCTGCGTCATTGACCAGTGCTACTCGGGCCCTTAGCGGCAGGACAAGGTTAGACTTTAGCTTCACAACGCCAGCCCAGAACGGTAACCCCGCAGTGCAGCCACCCGATTTGTTCTCTGGCTGATCTTATTACAGAGTTTAATCGACTAGGCACGGGAATGGGTATGAGATCAGAGGCAACTGCAAGATCACCGCCAGCAGATCCAATCTCGAGATCTCAGCAGCTTGTCTCACGCTCGTCTTTGCCCTCAGTCTGCACCCAGCCAGCTGGTGCTTAGGCAAGACAGGTGAAGTCAGACAGTGGCCCGGAATTCTTCTCAGGGCCGGGATCATGCCTCACCTCCCACCTAGAGGGCTAGAGCTAGGCTACGTTTCGACATCTGCAAGCCTCGACCGTCATCGAGTTCCACAAGCACTGACCATCACCAGATTTAGACCCGCGGGTCCGGTCCGGACTGCCTAATGCCTGTTCTCTACGTTAGATCTGCCGCGCAGGTCAGCGCACTCCGGCTCTAGACCACCCGACGGCTGGTGTTGACGTGGGGGTAGTGCCGTGACAAGCTGCCGGAAGAGATTATTCCCGCCTATTCCCGCCTGACGGCAAAGGCGGTCGGATGTTGTTCGCGGGGTAGGGGGGAACCAGGGGAGGATCTTTGACCCTGCAAGCACGTCACGAGCCCACAAGGGGGGTCACATCCTGATAAACTCTGTATCCTGTCTGCAGGGTCAAGTGCCGACCGAGAAGAATATCGGCAAGTCTCGTCGCCGTCGCGGGTAGCGATCCAGGGACCGAATCTTACCCGCCATTTACCCCGCTATGCGGAATTCGAGCGGTCATTATGTGCGTCATGGAGATTCTTGCGAGAAATATGATTTTATTTTATTTCGAAGAATGATCGCTAGTACCTGCGATCAGCCAGCGAGACGCCACTATCATACAAAGCCTTGACCGTGGTCTCGAAGCTTTCCGGCTCGCGACCCAGGATTTGGCCCAGGAGCGGCGAGACGACAGCCGTCTCCCCGCGCCGAATAGCATCCCATGCCGTTGCCCACTCCCTCGTCAGATCAATCCCATGATAAAAGAACTTCTTCCCATGCTGCGGCAGCTTGACATAGTCATCCATGGAGATCTCCCGGATCTTGAGGGGTTTCCCGACCAGGCGACTCAGGATCTCGACCGTCTCCCGCAGCGAGATCTCCCGCGGGCCCGAGAGCAGCAGCACGCGGTTCAGGTACGGGAACTCGCGCGGGCTTGTCGTGTAATCGACGACGAGCTTCGCCGTGGCTTCGCCCAGCTCGTCGCGCTTCACCCAGGTCACCCCGGGCCCGTCGCCGGCATGCGGGATCGCCACCTCATCCGCCGGGTGGTGGGGATTGAACCAGCTCGTGTAGAGCGGGAACGACTCCGAGTAGATCCCCTCCCGCACCGCCGTATAGGTAATTTGAGTATTGGATGATGAGGGTTGTAACTCCGCCAGATACTGTTCCGTCTTGAGGTGTGCCTTCATCACGTGCGCCACGCTGCTCGTCTCCAGATCCCCCGCAAACCCCAGCGATGAGTAGAAGATGTGCTTCACGCCGCTGCGCCGCGCCGCGTCGACGGCGTGTTTATGTGCCTGTCTCGGCCTTTAGCTTAGGTTTCTCCAGGATTTGTCTATGTAGGAAGCAAAGTTAACATACCTCGAACCGAAACTGGATCTCAATCGACGCATAGGAAATCAACAGCAGCACATCGACCCCGTCGAAGACCCGGTCCAGGGTGCTCGGCTCCTCGTAGTCGGCCCGGCGGACGGTCGCCCCCGCGCGGGCCAGCTCGGCCAGGTGGTCGTTGTCCGGCTTCCGCGCCACGAGGATCAGATCGGACGCCGGAACAAGCTTGACGAGATGGTTGATGGTGCTGGTGCCCAGGGCGCCGGCGGCGGGGAAGACTCCGATCGTGGGCATTTTTAGGGGGAGGTGTCGATGTGATGACGTAATGCGGCGCGGGTGCCTTTGGTGGTGTCGAGAATGATGAGGGACTAGAGGATTGCCTTCACAAGGATAAGCTTGAAGCAGGTCTTTGGAGTCCTGTAGGACTTATATCAACCAGGTAAATAGGTGTGTCAAAACTGCTTTCCCTGAGGCGTGGGTGAAATCCTGTTATCTTGTTGTTTCGGGAAAGCGGGTGCCAAGATGTCAAAAAGGGTTGAACTTGCTGGGGATCACTGCAGCTTACAAATCAGTCTTTTTGCGAACCTGTGGTATAGGTTGGATCTTTTGCAAATACTTGGGTTGCGATCTCTTTCGGTGGGTTTCGTGTCGACTCTGTGATTACAAAGATTATCTAGTTTATCTGCGCGGGGCAGGCCAGATGTGTACTGTATGCTGTCTCCATGCGGGAATATATTTTTGGTCGGCGTTGATGCACCACCGGAACTGGTTGCCTTTACTTTTGTAGATCTTGGAAGATTTGTCCGGGGATACTAAGAATATGTGAGAACAGTGAGAAGTCATCTACGTATTACATACTTTCTCCTCCAACGAAAATCAGACGCGGTTTATACTGTATAGTGCAATTTCAAGTATCGTTCAAGCATGTAAGCATGACTGTCTACATTCGAGTTCACTAGCACGCTCAGTAAACGGCCGGCCAACCATCTGCAACCAGCCAAAACACCCATCACTACTACCTAGTACCTAGTACCTACGGAAGACATAACTTCGCAATGCTCCGAAGTCACCGTTCACATTGATTCTCATAGCTCTCAACAGCATCCCCACTCTGCAATGACGAAACAACAAGACCCAGAGTCCACTTCTCAAGACGCGCACACCGCCAGTTATGCCGACCATGATGAGATCGCGCGCTGTCGGCCCGGCAGAACTGTCTAGAAGCGCAGAAGGCGGTGGGCTATAGTCTTGAGTATTATTGTTGTTCCAGAACTGTCTCTGCTGGCTGTTAACTTACCTACTATGTAAGTTAGTAGCTCAAGATCATAAGCAAAGTCTTGGCAAGGTTCCCATACTACAGAATGCGCTAGTCCTGAAAAGGGGGATTCGAGATGGGGACCATAGTTTCGGGGTGTCGATCTACGTACGTATTGCTAGGTATGGATCTTGAATGGAGGTTGATCGATGCTTGGGTTGTGTTGTGTACTGGTCCAGTGCTTGGACAAAGCTTGAGGTAGTTTTTCAAGCTACAAGACTCGTTTCGCTGCGGTAGTAACTTATCTGGGGTTATTACTGTAGAACTGTCCTATGGATTACGACCGAGGAGTACCATAGCTGTTGCCCCATGCCACACACTCGATGGGGCCGAGTGTAGACAAATATGGAATCAAGGGAAATCCCGGTGGAACACAGCGCCTGAGTGCAGTTGCAATACTCTGTGTGCGGCCAGCATCTGCGATATACCCACGACTCGCTCATCGAGGGCAACGTACGCGTCAATGTATCCCATCGTCGACGAGCCCTCAACCCTCGAACCGCCCTACCTACCAACCTTAAAATCCCATATAATGAATTAATGTACGCAGGCATACACCGAACAGCATGCATATAAGCCCAGAAACGCTCACCCTAACAAATACAACATCCCCCATCAGCATCACGTGGCATCTCCCACCACCCAAGAACCAAGGACCCAAAATAGATCCCCCAAAACCACCACCCCGATCATCTGAAGCTAGGTCATAGCTCCCTCCACCTTCCTCCCAGTAATAATGCCCCTATCCTACCCATCCCATCCCATCCCTCGCACAAGCCACAGACCCACCGACCCTTCCGCATCCACCCGGAGAACTATTCCGGGGTGGGTGGTCGATCATACGACCCTTAGGTTGGGTTCCCGATCGGAAAGCTCCGTACCGTGCCCACATGGCTACACGGCTACACTCCCTGACGGTCTTTGTGCGCCGCCGTGTCTTACAGCTGGTACTGGGGTCTTGGGTGTGGCGCTGTTGTTGTGAAGTTTAATGCGGTGGGTAGTATGGGCCGATCTGGATTGGGGGTGTGCTAAAGATGGAGGGGTGGGGCGATCGGCTTGCATGATTTGCATTGGTTGCTGCAGGGATGCTGGGCTTGTATCCCGGGGGTGGGGTGGGGGTAGGGTTGTGGTGGCATTTGGGGCTTGGTTTTGATGGGTCATGAGTATGGGTGGTGGGTACTGTGCCTGGCTGCTGGTTATAGGGGCTGGGGTGTGTAGAGTGGGTATTTGGGTGGTCTTTGCTTGAGGGGGTGTGTGGTACAGTAGGTAAATTGAACATGGATTATGCTGTACTCATCAAGGGATGTAATGGTGGCGAAAAGAATGAGGGCTCCTGGCGAGGGATGGTGATTTCTGATAGATGGAATCTAAAAGAGATACCACGATGCGAGGGCTGCTAGTCCGACGAGAGTGGCTATTTCCCGGGCTTGGGAATGGGGTATGTCGGCACTGTTGGGGGATTGGGTTTGTGCAGGTGTGGTGGATGGGGCTGTGGATGAGGAAGAGGAGGTGGCGGAGGAGGAGGAGGAGGAGGAGGAGGAGGAGGAGGATGTGCTCGATGCTGAGCTTGCGTTGGTTGCTCCTGTCGCTGCAGACGTTGAGCCCGTCTGCGATAATCTGCTGGATGAGGTGGAGGATGGGAGGGCGGTGGTTGGTTCCGAGGTCGATTGGGTTTGTGCTGAAGGTGGTGTAGTGCGCATTGCGCTTGACGCGGTGGTGGACGAAGTCGATAAAGAAGTTGTCGCGGCTGATACGCTAGCTGTCGAGTCGCTCAAGGTGACGGTGCTGTAAGGAGTGTGGACGGTGATGCGGGTGGCTTCGCCGGTGCAGCCTCTGGGATACCATGTTAGGTTGATGCGTGTTGGCGAAGATGACTAGTGAACGAGGCATACCCGACGAAATTGTCACAGCATCCGATGAACACATTGCCGTCGAACTGGCACCGCGCGCCCAGGTCGCATCCAACTGTTGTGTCGGTCAGCCATCCATAGTTCTATGCGCAACCAGAGGACTGCTCGTTGAAGGATGGGATCTTACATCCCCCTTGGTCCAGACCACAGCAGTTCCAGGAGCACCCGTCACCGCAGCAGCTGCCTACAATGCATCGGGTGCCGTCCGAGCAGACTTCCCTCTTCACAAGGCTGCCCGCCTCAGGCGGCGAGGTATCTCGTTTCAGGACAGCGGGCGGCAGGTTGGCGGTGGCCATGCATTGTTGGAGAGATCCGAGTGTTGCGAGAGCAACAAGACCTATGCTGGTGAGCATGCTGGGAACAACATCAAGTAACATTAGAGACATGCTCAATCGAAGCTCAGGGCGGTTGCATGTAACGAATTGTTTATATGATGTGTTTATAGCACTACAAGAAGCCGCTGGCCTCCATGTCATACGGCGACCATGAGCCATCTCGTATTCCCATTCTTGGCACTGCTGATCAATGTGTGAACATGGTGGTTAGTTCCAACATTTGAGTTTTGATTAATCTCCCCGCCTTTTCTCATGTGCTCGATCATTGTCGCTTTTGGTGTGGATTGTGCCATGGCTTGACCATGTGAATGGCACTGGGTGTCGGAGCATGTGGCTTGGGGGAAGCGGGATGTGGTGTCTTGGGAGAAATTGGGCGGAGAGTAGCTTGAGTTGTGGAAAGACCCGACCTTAGTAGTCCGAGCCCAAGACCTGTGACTCACACCGTAGATTGATGATGGATGCATAGTACTGGTGGTGTTCTGATAATGGGTGAGGCTTCCGCCGTCACTCCTTCTGGTCATCATCCCATGACTGGTCCTTTGCAGTGGTATACTCTGGACCTGAGAGCTCACCTAAACAAGATGTTAGCGTTGAATATACAACAGTTGGTGTTATAAATACATCTGCACAGGTTCTCCTGGTGTCCGTTGTTCAATTGGCTCAACATACTTCAGTGAACCTAGCTGAACCGCGGTGGAAATGGCTCAGGCCTGGAATTTAATGTTCTATAACAAAGGAACCAGTGACTGAGATACGTGATGGGTTCACACTTCGAGTCATCGCTGTGCAGAGACAAGGTTAATGTTTAATTGACGAAATGTCGAGGTAGCCAGGGGCTTTTGTCAGGCCCACTGCTGCCTTGAAACGCTAAGGGCAGGCAGGGACCCTCAGTTATCGCCAAGCGTGAAAATATCCCGCTATCCTCGGTGTTTTGGACCTATCATCCAGCTCGTTTGTGCTGCAATCTAAAACCGCCATTCCGGTGTCGGATCTTTGATTCCAGCTGACAAGCCGCCAGTGTCCCTGGGCCGCTCCGATCGTCCTTGGCCCAACCCCGCATCTCGACTCTTCTGAAGCCTGGAAATCGGGATATAGAGTTTGAGACTAGTCTCGCACCGTAAAAGCAGGAGGTTGTTGTAGATCTTGGGATGCCTCGTCAAAGTGGACGTCGACAAGGTATCTGGGAGATGAATCAGAATCAGATGTCAAATGATCAATTGAGCTCCTCGTATCGCCCTCATCACAATGTGTTCAACTATGGCTATACCAGGAGTCGGAGAAAGCTGGTCCACGGAGGAGATAACAAGCCATGGATCCGATCGACAATCGATTCCCCGGACAGACTTATCGCCACCGCGTGCACTTGCCGGATCGGGATTAAGGATGATGCTGAGGAGTGTCACAGGGAGCTACTATCTTCGGTTCGAGGGGAAGCTCACGGGACGGCTCTACTGCAACCGTCGATTATGACAGTTAAGATCGATAGATAGGGGCAAATCTCCCAACTGTCATGGATCCAGTATGCCCCAAGGGAATTGACGTATTTGTTTACCTCGGAAGAAGACTGCCGGAGGGAGTGATGTCATTTGAGTAACTATCGGGCAGGTTAGTCGAGGGAGTAGACGAGATACAGCAGTGTGATGCAATATCCATCTATACAAACAATCTGTAGTTCATAGAAGTTTGACACCGAACTGAATAAGAGATATCTGGTTCGAGCATTGAATGTATGACAGCCCGCAAGAGAATAATGAAAGGGTGGATGGGGTCAAAAAAGCTGCCAACCCCACTTGGGAAGTCCTGCCGAGCCTTAAGCACTTCTTTTCCCAAGCCAAGCCTCTCTTTCCCCCCCCGCAAATCTTTAAAAAAAATTTCGCTTATCACCAACTTATCTTTTTTGTCCACTCACGAAGATCTGAGTTATGACCAATTACCCAATTCATTGATTATCTTTCCCCTCCCAGACTCGATAACTCCTCTCCCATCACCCATCTTGTTGTGCTGCCTGGCCCCCCCCCAGAATGCTCGCGCCGTGAGGGGAAATAACCCGAGGACTGCCACACTTGACTGCTGCACCTTTCCTTCGCTTGGTTCATATATCAAGCACCCCTCAGACATCTCACAGAGAGTGACTCCTTTCCTCAGTCAGCAGAAAATGGACAGTTGGATGAACTGCCTCTCCCTCGAATACATTGCGCTATCTGTCGGTTGACAGTACTGTACATCCAACCAATCCATTGAAAACAACAACAATCATTTTTCTGCAAATCTCCCTCCCGTATGGACGTGGAAAACCCCGAAACCCTCAAACCGTTCCACTCGGGCGATCAACATGCCCAAGATGCCAGCGACCTCGCCGCGATGGGCCATGACCAAGCCCTGTCGCGCAAATTCGATATCTGGAGCATGCTCTCGCTAGCCTTCTGCGTTCTAGGTGTGTGTGTGCTTTCTTGCGTCACTTGTTCCCTTGGACAATGTGGTCGGCCGGTCCTTGTTTTTCCGCTCCCGACCCACTTGAACTTAGCCGAGAGAGAGAAAAAAACTAATTATGAGGCACCAATCAGGCACCTATTCCACTTTTGCTCAGGATCTTGACAGTGGGCTTACCAATGGAGGTCCCATCTCCATTCTGTGGGGTCTTGTTCTGGTCACCGCATGTAATTTGTGTGTTGCTGTCTCCCTTGGGGAGCTGACCAGTAGTATGCCCACGGCCTTGGGCCAGGCCTACTGGGTCTTCCGACTCTGGGAGACCCCATTGGGTCGCTTTGCCTCGTACATGTGTGCGTGGATCAACACCTTCGGGTGGTGGACCCTGACTGCATCGCAGGTGGCCTTCATGACCGAGTTCCTGCTGGGGATGAAGGTCCTGTTCGACAACTCGTGGGGCGGCGCTGGCACGGGTTGGCTGGAATTCGTCGTCTACATCGGATGCGTCCTGGTGCTGACGCTGGTCAACCTCCTCGGCTGCCGGAAGGAGAAGTTCCTGCCCTGGCTGAACAACTTTGTCGGAGTGTGGTTCACCGCGCTGTTCGTCATCCTCTCCCTCGCCCTGCTCATCTCCGTGGGCGTCAAGAAAGATCTCACCTTTCAACCGGCCTCGTTTGTCTTTGGGAATTGGATGAATGAGACCGGCTGGGACGACGGGGTGGTGTGGTTCATTGGGCTGGTGCAGGCGGCGTACGGACTGACAGCCTTTGACGCGGTGATTCACATGGTGGAGGAGATTCCCGCGCCGCGCCGCAACGCCCCGCGCGTGATCTGGCTTTCGGTCCTGATGGGTGCGATCACCGGTTTTATCTTCATGGTGGTTTGCCTGTTCTCGATCCAGGACGTCGACAACGTCATCAACTCAGCAACTGGCCTGCCCTTCATGGAATTGATGCTGGAGACCGTGGGGCTGGAAGGCGGCGCCACCCTCTTGGCTTTGTTCATCTTCAACGGCCTCGGACAGGGTATCAGCATCCTTACGACCGCCTCCCGGCTCACCTGGGGCTTCGCGCGCGACGGCGGCCTGCCCTGGAGCGGGTATCTGATGCACGTCGACCCGGTGTGGAAGGTGCCCGCGCGGGCGCTGTGGTTCCAGGGCTTTCTGATCGCGCTGGTCGGGGTCCTGTACCTGTTCGCCGACACCGTCCTCCAAGCGATCCTGAGCGTCAGCACCATCGCGCTGACCATCTCGTACGGTCTCCCCATCGCCGCGCTGCTGATCGTCGGCCGCGACAAGCTGCCGCCCGGCGAGTTCCACCTCGGCCGCTGGGGTGCCCCCATCAACTACATCAGCGTCATCTACTGCATCGTGACCACGATCTTCTTCCTGTTTCCCGGCGCCCCCAACCCCTCGGCCAGCGACATGAACTGGGCGATCGCCGTGTTCGGGGTCATGCTCGTCGTGGCCGTCGGGTTCTGGTTCCTCCAGGGCCGCCACACCTACCTCAAGACCGAGGACGCGATCGCGACCATGGTCCAGGCGCAGCGGCTGGAGATCGAGGCCGAGCAGACGGAGGAGAAGAAGACTTGAGATCTTGGTGGTTGTAAATAGTGACCCAGACCCCCTTGCACATACTGTCTATATCTGGGGTTAAGTGTAGATCAGATTGATTATCTATATCTCTTGTTATAGTGTCTATACATATCCATACATTGACACGTTTTGGAACGCAAATCCTAAAGAATCTTGCTCCCCCCAGCTGTCCTCCGCGCTTTGTATTATGGCATCCCATCGTCTCAAGTGAGTTTGGGGGGATTGGAGTCTGAATAGTGGTGAATGACAGACAGAGAAAAAGCAGCGATTGTTAGCAACTGAGATCTCCCTCTTTGCACAAGGGACTAGAGAAAGGAAAGTGGAGCGGGAGAATCCGGGATGACGCTGTGCTAGTATTACATTCTCCACCGGCTCCGGGCTCCCCCATGTGCGGTTCGATGATTTTGTGGGTCGGAGGTGGAAAGGGTACCGGTCGTGGTGGGTTTGGGGTGTAGCGCGTCATACCTATTGTCGGCAGTCACGAGCTCATGCTTTGTGGGGATCCGGGGAATCTGAGTAAAGTTCTTGGTCTATTGAATGTACACGGCTTTAAAAAACAAAGATGAAGTATATACATAGAAAAAAAGAAGGGCCGTAAAACGGTCATACGCTGCGTCCCGCCTAGCTCCAATGGTCCCATCTGTGTGTCTATATGCGAAACCGGGGCCCGGCGCCCTGGGTGCGGATGTGGGCGACATCGACGAGCCTGCCCAGGATAATGTACTCGAGCTTCAGCTTGATGCTGTAGGCGAGGGCCTTGAAGGTGACCTGGAAGGTGAAGAAGCCGGCCCACTGGATGGCGACGACGGCGAGGTCCAGAAAGACGATGAGGACGTTGACGAGCAGGAGCTGGGAGAGGAGGGGGCGCGAGGCGGGGCTGCCGCTGTCGAGGCGGAGCAGGCGGGCGGTGGCAACGATGTAGACGCCGGAGAGGAGCAGCTCCTGGACGCAGAACCAGGTGACCTGGATGCGCTCGACGACGCCGAACGCGAGGGCGACGGCGCGGGAGTCCGGCCGGGCGTTGGTCGCGAACTCCAGCGCGGTGGCGCAGCCGTGCAGCAGCACGCCGTCGGCGACGATCAGCCAGAACAGCGCGCGCAGCAGGCGCCGGTTGTGCAGCACCAGGTGCAGCCGCGACCAGAGCACCAGCGACTGGCCGGTCACCATGCCGGCCCAGCCGAGGTCCGAGATGGCGATCTCCAGGTAGAAGTGCGTCGCCGTGATGTCGAACATCTTCAGCAGGTAGCCCAGCCCGAAGGGCAGGATGCTGACCGAGGCGACCAGCAGGCTCCAGAAGTAGGGCCCCGCGTACCGCTTGAAGGTGTTGAAGCACAGCACCAGCAGCTCCAGGGCGTTGCACCACGCCAGCGCGATCAGGATCGGGAACACATACTCCTCGACGTTCGGATCCCCCAGGCGCCGCTCGAGGCCCGTGGTGTTGTTGTTGCTGGTGTTGCCAGGGATAAATTGGGGCATACGTGGGTTTTTCTTTTCAAGGCATGCAGAGGGTAGGTGAACGAGGGACTGTATGGGTGATGAGTAGATTAGAGGAGGCGAGGAGGCGCTGCCTGCCTGCACGATTAGGTAGGTTTTTGGATAACGAGAGAATGAAGTTGGGGAAAATGTGCTCCCTCACTGCCCTTGGGGGTTTGCAGGAGAGAAGTCGAAGCCAAGGCGAACGCCCGCCTGAGTTAATCGCTAGTGGCCATGCATCGATTGGATGATAATTCAGGGACTACTTCAAGGAGTGCGTCATGGAGACTGGAAAAAGCAGTGATCGAAGTGAATGCAATTGGTGGGAGATACGCAGAACATCCACCGGCAAGATCATGGACTGCCAATCGGCACGCTGGATGAGACCGAGATTTGTGACGCGGCTTGGTAAGCAGGCTGTCCGCATTGGGTGTAGTGATAAGGTCACGTGCTACCACGGGAGGAGGCTGGCAGCTAACCCTTTTGGGCGAGTAAGCATGGCTTCCAGTTCAAGGTTCCAACTCCAATTCTCCAATTCACTCCATCGTGCTGGAGGCATCTCTTGTACTGCTCTTGTACAGCACTCGAGTGTACTCACACCAGTTTTACAAAGAATCAGAGTGACAGGGAGACAGTACAAACCTCAGGCTTGAAAGCAGGAAGATCATGTTACCATCAAGCCCACAACACTAGGAGCGGCCTGAGACAATGCCATTCACCTTACCTTCACTTTCATTCTATTACCAGCTTATGCAACTTGTTACAGGGAGAGAACCTGGTGCTGGAGCTGTGGGGCTGATCGAAGTGTCACTAATATGTTGATTCAATCGGTGCGAGTTGCCGCAAATGGACATGCATGTGCTCGCCGATTTGCTCGTCAAGCTGTCAGGAATGACGGCCGCAGCAACGAATCAAGTTGGACATCACCAAAGAATCATAGATCCGAGTCTTCACCAACCAGCCAACCGAGCCAGACTGGACGAGTCGGAGAAACGGTCGTACTTGCCGCAAACTGAAACCTCCTTCAGAGCTCTAGTGGATGTATCATCCACGCCATTGATCACCTGCGCCAGTCTCTGTGGCTTGCGGTGAGGAACCCTGCTGACAATGCTGCCGTCATGCAGTTGAGTACAACAGTGGTTGGCTATGAAGAAAACTGGCGAAGGAGGCTGACGGTCTGTGCTGGATATGATCTTATCCGCAGTCAGCTCCGCACTCGCGCTCCACCGTTCTCCGCACGTCTGACCCCGGATTCCTTCCCCTCAAAACGCCAGCCTCTTCTCGACGCTCTGGGAAGGAATTGAGGAGTTTTGCTACATATTCCCGTGGAACACGTCCTAGATAAAAGCCAAGAAATACAGAAACACTCGTCAGCATCATGGCTCCCCAGTTTCGCGCCGAGCAGATAGGATCGCTGCTGCGGCCCGATGAACTCGTTGCCGCTCGGGCTGCCGCCGGACAGCTCGTGTCGTATACCACCGAACCGGTCCCTGATGCCCTCAGAAAAATCACAGAGGATGCCATCGCCCGAGTGGTCGAGCAGCAACTGCAGCGGAAGGTTCGACCCATCATGTCCGGAGAATATGAGCGAACCATCTACTATTCCGGCTTCTTCGAACGCCTCCACGGCTTCAAGATTGTCCCGGACGTGCCTGTCCCAGCGGGACTACGGAATGGACTTCCCGTGGTGAACGTCATGCTCCGCAACGGGATGACCGCCCGCGAAGCAGTAATCGCCGTCGACAAGATCCGCTACGCTGAGAGCCCGTACCTCGCGGACTGGGAGTACCTGCGGAGCCTTGTGCCCCCGGCGGCATGGAAAGAGTGCAAGGTCACCATCCCCCCTATCACCTGGCAGCATCTGCAGCTGCGCGCCGGCACCGCCTTTACCGACCGTAGCCCCTACACGACGGACAAAGAGTACTTTGCCGATCTGGCTCAAGCGTACGCTCAGGAGCTGCGGACGTTGTACGATGCAGGCCTGCGGTCGATCCAAGTGGACGACCCCCAGCTGCTGTATTTCGTGACGGACGAGTTCCGCTCGGGCTGCCGCGCGGATGGGATTGATCCGGACGAGCTGCTGGAGTTATACATCTGGGCGCACAACCAGTGTCTGGTGGGTCGGCCAGCGGACTTGCACGTGGGCATCCATCTCTGTCGGGGCAATATGCCCGGGTCCACCCACATCATCAGTGGCTCGTATGAGCGCATTGCGCGGCGTCTGTTCACGGGACTGGACTTCGATACCTTCTATCTCGAGTACGACACAGAGCGAGCAGGTGACTTCCAGCCGCTGCGGTACCTGCCGGTGGACAAGAACGTGGTGCTGGGCGTCGTCTCGACTAAGAGTCCGGAGATGGAGTCCCTGGACGAGCTCGAGGCTCGCGTGTACGCGGCAGCGGACGTGATTGCCCAGGGCCAGGGCCGTAGTCGACAGCAGGTCCTCGACACCACATTAGGGGTGAGTCCGCAGTGTGGGTTCTCGAGCATCAGTCGCGGTCGGGGCATTGGGATGACGGACGAGAAAATGTGGGAAAAGCTGCAGCTGGTGCAGAATCTGGCCGAGAGGATTTGGGGACGGACCGCTGGGGTTCCGTGAATACTAGCCAGGTTCTGCATGCAGGTCCGTGGTGCCGTGCATGCAGGAATTGTGAACAAGCCAGGACAGCCCATGTGCTCAAAGAATGAAGCATTGATGGATCGATGGGTGGTGCGGCAGGACCCACTTGCCGCCCCCTTCCATATTGTCCTGAATAGAGACAGACACCTGGGGCCATTTTATCTCCGTAGATTAATTGTGCATCATAAACATTATAGCCGAGGAATTCGCCCTGCACGTGGCTACACTGGTTGGTGACAGGCAGCGTATCCTTGGCGATCGACATGTCGACCTGCTGTTCCTGGCCTCGGAAGCAGAGGGGGAATGGATTAACCGTTAAGCTGCCAAAACTTGGCTTGCGAGTGGATAATAGCTCGGTTATTCTTCCATGGAAAAAGTTCCTGGCATAATGTAGTACCTTAGCTACCAGGTAAATTAGCGACGGCACCACCAGCTATATAGACCCGGCGCCTCGTGCCCCTACCGTAGACACTTGACACTTTGTATTTGTGTCGCTCACAGAGTCCGTCCGCAATCATGCATTTCCCGGTCGCTAGTGCCCTCGCGCTCCTGCCTCTCTCCGCACACGCTGTCAACATTATCTCGTCGAATGATGATGGCTGGGCGGAGATCAACATCCGGCAGCTCTACGATTCTCTCACTGAGGCAGGCCATTCGGTGGTGATCTCCGCCCCGGCCGAGAATGAGAGCGGCACTGGTATGTATAGCATAGCATAGCATATTCCCCCCAAACCTCACAGCAACAACAGAGATACTCCCAAACTCTCAAACCCACCCGCAACTACTCCTATAATACTAACCCAGACAACAACAGGCTCCGAAGACGGCACCCCGACCGTTCTAACCTCAGCCTGCGAATTCGACAGCTGCCCCGCCGGCAGCCCGGCCTACGGCTCGAACGCGACGCAACCGCGCTTCAACTACGTCAACTCCTACCCGGTCACGTCGATCAAATACGGCATCAACACGCTGGCCTCGACGTTTTTCTCCGGCGCCAGCCCCGACCTCGCCGTGACGGGTCCCAACGTGGGCTCCAACCTCGGGTGGGAGGTGTTCTTCTCCGGGACCGTCGGCGCCGCCACCTACGCGGCCAACACGGCAGGGATCCCCGCGATCGCGTTCTCGGGCGCCACGGGCGCGCAGACGGCGTGGAACGTCTCGGCCGTGCCCCTGTACAGCCAGGTGTACGCGGAGCTGGCGACCAAGCTGACGGATCAGCTGATCGCGGGCGGGGAAGCGCCGTACCTCCCCGAGAATGTGTGGTTGAATGTGAACTTCGGGGCGGTGACGGACGGGGGTAGTTGCGCGTCGGCGGATGAGTTCAGCTTCGTGTTGTCGCGGATCCATACGGCGCTGCCGTTGATCACGGCGGATGATGTCGAGACTTGCGGGTCGACGCGCTTGCCGACGGAGACGGCTGTGGTGGACTCCGATGGGTGCTATGTTAGTGTCTCGGTGGGGTTGGCGAGCGACAAGCTTGATGCGAATGCCACTGTGCAGGGTGTGGTGTTGGAGAAGTTGGGGGATTTGTTGACTTGTTTGTAAAAGAATAGGGAGTGTGTATAGAGGAGGGGTGGAAGTGGATGGTTGGGTGTTTTTGACTTTCGTGTATTGCTTGGCATTTGGATGGATCTAGAAGTATTCGAATGATACTCCCGCGTTTGTGCAGTCCTGTTGGAAAGGGGTAAATGACATCTCGTCCACTGTGTTTCTCGGGAGCTGGATTTGGGTCAGATTGGGGAAGGCATCGCGGGCAGTGGTGACGAGGGTGGTGAGCTCCACAAGTAGATCTGCGTAGCGGGTTTCCACGATGTTGAGAACACAAAGACGTCGGAGGGATCTCGGGAGCCGATCCGCGAGAATGCCTCGAGCAGAAGCTCCATCCACCGCTGGTAAGAGGTTGGCGTGTCGCAGCGTCACCTCTTCGAGAACTTCGAAGTCCCGCATCGAGTCCACGGGCGCATTGCAATGATTCAGGTTCTGCTCGTCCTCGGTGAGCCAATAGATGTCCTCATAGTACAGTTCTATCGGCCCGGGGGCGTTCAGTAAGGCGTGGTATACTTGGTCGTACTCGATGTGCAGACTCTTCAAGGTCTTTCTGAACGGAAGAAGGGCTCGAACAAAGCGCGAGGGGTTGAAGGGCACCCCGTACCGGATCTCAGGGTAGCCGACGAAGATGCAGGCGATTCGCACTGAGATATGCTCCAGCTCCGTGCAGTCTGCGAGCCAGGTGAGTGTGCCGCGCGAGTGCTTCAAGGATCGAATGTCTATCCGTTTGACCGGGCAACGGGCGCAGCTGGCCTCTCGCCGCCACTCGAGAGGATCATCCCGTCCTCGACCCTCCCACAGCTGGCTGACATCCACTGTTTCCACGGCTGGGAAGTAGAAGAAAGGTGTCAGGACTTCTTCGAGATCGAACCCCTGCTCGCAGTCTCGGACCGAAATGTGCCGCAGAAGAGGATACGGGGAGGTTTCGTCGAAGGGCCGCTGCTGTTTCCCGGCCCTGTACAGAAGATCACAAATTGCACTATTGTTGTAAAGGCCCACAAACTCAATGCTCTCGAGACGTGTCAACCGGACAAGCAACACTCCCAGCCAGAAGCACCAATCACTGCTTCGCAATTTTGTTCCCCACCAAACACTCCTGCGCTTGTCCTTGAGATCGAACATCTCATTCTGTACATCCTGAATGAATTCTTGGAGCTCAGGTACCTTCTTCTCGTCCAGCTGATACTGACGGCGGGGGTGACGAATGATCGGGAGATGAATCTCGGCGCGGCGCACAAGACTAGCCAGGTCGGGACATCGCCATAGGCGCATAACAAGAGACACATAGCTGTCTGACAAGGGTGGGATCAGTCGGATCTCTGAATAGAAAAGCGGTTGAAGGACGTCGTATAACCGCTGACAGCATCGGACCAGGGAACATAGTGTATGCTTTTCGATGAGCTGGCCGATGGAGAGAATGAGCTCGGGTGGTAGACAATCCATTGAACTAAAGGCACTGAGGGGTCCTTCGACGCTCTAAAAAGTATCGAAGATGGCAACAAGAGAGGGGAGTGTGAGGCCAAATCGACCTTCCCATGCGGGGTTCCCGCCGCTTTTACAAAGGGCAGCGCGCCAGGTCCACGGTGGGGCAAAACACCCCCAAAAATAGAGGCAGGTACGGCAAGCTACTCGTGCCAATTTGCAATAACCCCATTTTCCATAGTAAACTTGCAGTATTTTTGTATGTTATTACTTCACCGCTCAACAGACCGCCTTTCCCTCTAACTGACCCTAATGTAAAAATCATATACAAGATTCCCTAATAAAGAACCCTAATGTACCAATACCTTCGGCCTAAAATACCCTAAGACCCTAATAGCCCTAATAATCCTAATGTAACTTATAACTTAATTTTGTTTAAACTAGGCAGCTTGGAAGGCTAAAACAGTATTGTCGGCAGAATTGGGTTATTGCAAATTGGCACGAGTAGCCCACCGTAACTATTCAACCCGCGTGTGGCCTCAGGCTTCAGGTTTCTGCCGGCGCATGCCGCTTCAGCCAGAGCTGATAGACAACACCTACCAAGCTTCAGCTCCTGGGTCCGAAACTAGCAGTTAGGAGATACGACTCAGAGGTACCTTCGGGGGCGCCAAACAGGACGCGCAAACCAGTCTTGTTCGTGAATTGATTATGCGTTTGAGTCTCATCAGCAGCTGTTCATCTGTTTGCCCCCATTTGGCTAAGTCTAGCCATCAGCAATAATTCATCCAATGTTTTGTTGCCAGATGGTGAGCTGTGAAAGGCTTCAAGTGGGAACTGCATAAGTCACCTTTGTTTAACTGGGAGGGTTCGTCTCAGCCAGTGGCCCATCACACCTAACAACAGCATGGCTGAGGCACGGGACACTCACCAGGCCCATATGATTACTTGCAAACAGCCCGATGAAGCTTCTGATTGCCGTCCATGGCTTTCGCCCTCAATGTTTCAGACTGACAAGAACATTTCAGGCACTTGAGCGATGGCGTTTGCAGACATCAGGTCTGGATGACGATCTAGCTCATGCCACCTTCCGTGGCCTAACTTCCATGCTCCACCAAACAGGCAAAATTTCACAGTGGGAAATGGCAGTGGTCCGCTTTTACTGCTAGGTGGCCATTAACTATGTCATTCTGTTTCCTGCCACATCTTCATTCTGATCAACGCTTCCTTCCTTCTTGCTCGCTCACACCTCTTCTTCTCCACCTTGTCAAGCCAAGCCGCACCATCGAGAAAACCCTGTCGTTAAAACGGCAAGACCCAGACTCCGACGGAGTAGCTTGATGAACAACCTTACTGACCGTACACAGTGATGGAAAACATGAATGAATCCTATATTCTAGTGCCCGGCTTTGACTACCACCCCCATTATGCAATCAACCCGGGAGATATCGTCGCTGACTGGCGAGAACCAACTAAGACCCTCAGCAACCCCACGAAGCCTGCCATACTCGCATTACACACAGACGTCGAGGGCATGTTGAAGAGTGATGACGAGTTGACCACACTCCACGGGCAACTTTGGACGAGATTCATGCGCTTCGCTGATACCGCTGTCGGTGGTGGAGGCACTGTGCTTGACCCTGCGAATCACTTCTACGAGCGGCTGGACACCATCCATCTACACGATTACCCTACCAATGAGGAGGCCACTGAGCGCAGCTTACATCCGGAAGTACAGAGTGTGATGCGAAGCGGGTTTGGCTGGACGTCAGTGTTCATGATCACGGGCATCAAGGTTGCCGAGGGGTTCACGATGAGAAGGCCTTCTCTCGAGAGCCGGGAGACGAAGGCGACAATAACAGCAAGGCTTCTTGGCACGGAAGCAGGCCCGACCCTTGAGGCTGAGGCAATCATTGGTGGACATGAGCCGGCGGTGGAGGAGTGGCAACCGCCTACCGACATCGTTTACGCCTATGAGGTTAGCACGGTCCACTTCGAGGAGTGTCTCTCGGGGCCCTGCCAGATTCATCCCCACGTTCCTAGGGCCGCGGCCGCTTTGCTGCGTGATAAGAAAGGGGAACAGAGGACCGAGGCAGCGGACGACTACGCGGCGTACCTGAAAACCTTGCGGGAGAGGGCAGCAGATGTATTCTTGGCCGAGCAGGAGGGCTTGAGGAACATGAACGGGGAAATGGATGTAGAGGTTGTGGAGTTGACGGATGGAACAGAGAAGTGCGATGTGGTCATGTTCAACACCGTGCCTAGGTAGTTTGGATCTGAATGTCTGCCTATCTATTGGGCTGGCCAGGGGTTCTCTCAGCGATCTAATTCCTACCTTTACGACGATGAACAAGTATGCTTATGAGCGAGATTGTGATTATCAGGTTGGAAGATTTATGGGTCAAGTAACAGTCTCTTCTTAAGCAGGAACGAGCCCACGTAAAGTTCCGAATCCTCAGCCCACCAGCCAGTCCCCCTTCCCGACCCATCAACACCGAAACCACCTCACGGCAGCAATCTCAACACTCCCCCTCCAACGGCACCTCGGACCTCAACCCAATCTGCGTCTCCAAATGCTTCATGCGCACCGTATTCAACCCCGTGACGTTCGAAATCACCGGCTTTGTACTCCGCCACCCGATCATCTTCTGCGCCAGCGGCGTCATACTCTCCACCACCGCCCGCGGCACGGTGACATGCGTCTCGTACGGAGCGAGCTGACAGCTCCCGACCGACAGCAACAACAAGCGTCGATGATCGGGATTCTCCGCGCCGTGCGCCGCCCCGCCATGCTTCGTCGTCCGGTACAGCACCAACGCGTCCCCGGGCTGAAGCACCGCCCGGACCGTCTGCTCATCCGTCCCGCGCTGGCCCCTCGGCCACCGATGACTCCCCAGGATCACGCGCGTGGCGCCATTCGCCTCCGTGAACTCGTTCACCGCCGTGATGATACTGAAGACCGGCGACGGGGCGTCGTCCGCCAGATACTGCAGGATCGGGTGCGTGCCGTGGTCGTTGTGCAGCTCCTGGGTCGGGTTGCCCGGCATCATCTCCATGGCCATCCCGTTGAGGAGCCAGTAGTCCCCGTGCGTCGGCGTGAAGACCTCCTCGCACAGGCGGTGCAGGACCGGGTTGTTGAGGATTTCGTGCCGGAAGGTCGGGCATGTGGCGGTCAGGTCGTTCATCCATTTCGTCGTGGTGGGGATCGGCATCTGGTAGAATTCTTGGTTCATCTGGCCTCCTGTCGTCGTGGCGGAGCGGTGCGAGAGCTCCTGGTCGAATTTCTCGATCGTGGGGCCCGGGAGAAAGCCTTCGACTATGGCGGCGCCGTCGTCGCAGACCGCTTGCCACAGGGTTTGCGGTGGGGTGGTCGCGGGGAAGCGTCGGATTGGGGGTTTGTTGCGGGTTACGGGGGATGACATGGTTGCTGTGGAAAGGTTGCTCGAGGTTGAGATGAGGGGATTGGGAATGATCTCTAAGATGTTTTTGAAGTGATGACATGTGTTCATGGTGGTGGGTGAGGATGTGCTGTGCCCTTTTGTACTCATCTATGACTCAATGGCTGGTGTGGAGAGTGACTGTGATCGCCACGCAATGGCTCGATGTCATATTTTGGACAGATACAGCAACCAGGTGAAGGGGATCTTCCGACAATCAGTGATGGGATCTATCTCATCAAAGCCCCTCTAGGAAGTTGCATGCTGCCTGCTCAATCGAAACCAAGGCAGCAAAGATCCCGATGTCATCATCTATTGCCAATCGGTGGAGACATGTCTCTTCTCTGTGCGAGGCAAACTTGTGATATTGAACGCATGACCATGAATGCAGTCAATAATTCAATAGTCACACTGCATGTTGCTGCATGCTGTGCGTCATGGCTGTCTGCCCCTGAAGCCTCACTTTCGGTCACATCCGACCGGACATGCCGGGAGCTACAATGTGGCACGGAACTATTACCTGGACATGCGTCGGGGAAGTGGATGTGTGATAGATTCAGGCTACCTAAGACTAACAAGCGTGGTGGGCAATGGGCAGTCTGGCCAGCGAGGCCGAGGGTAGCTGACAACGTCGTAACCAGGAAATGCATGGCATGTATTACCTATGGGAAATGAACTAAGATTATATTCACACCTTGAGCGGCATTACCTCAGCTAGAATCTTCTGCTCATCCTTCTCCACCGCATCCCACGCCTTGTCGACAATTTCCTTACGCTTCTCACTTCGGATGACCACCGACGCCGGGAAAGAAGGCACCTGATTGAAGGCCGATCCCCCGCCACGGGGCTGCATCAGCTCATCTAGATCCAACCCCATCTTTTTACCATTTTCATACGCATGGCCAAAGTCATAGGCCCAGAAGAGGCGCGCAGTGTTAATGAATAAGTGCTCGCGGGCCAGATGTTGGCCGGGACATCCGCGCAGCCCAAAGCCGAAAATGACATGGGGCAGATTGGGGCTGTCAATCCAGCGCTGCGGACGGAACGTGAAAGGATCATCATAGACGCTCTCATCGTGGTCCATAGCCCACTGATTCAGCACCAGCGTCGCCCCCTTGGGCAGCAAGTAGCCATTGTATTCAATATCGCTGCTGATGGCGCGCGGCGCTCCCAGCGGCGAGAAGGCGTGCCATCGCAGCGCCTCGGAGACGAACGCCATCACCCAGGGAATGCGGTCTCTGTGCTCCCAGTCCGGCAGCCGGTCGGGACCCACTACCGCATCAATCTCCCGCTGCAAGCGGCGCATCTCATCGGGATGGAAGATGGCCGCCAGGACGATGATGCGAAGGATCTCGTACGGGGTCAGCGAAGCCTGGTAGGTCGAGCCGATGCAGAACGAAAGCTCCAGCTCGCTCATCCCCTTCGCCTCGGGCCGCGACACGTACTCCTTGGCCCAGTTCCACGCCGGCGTGCTAAGCCCATCCCGAAACCGCTTCACATAGATATCCGCCAGCCGCTCCCCAACATCGTCCAGCTGCTTGAGGAACTTGTCATTCCCCGGGAGGTACTTCAAGATGGGGAAGAACTCGCGCAGCATGGCGGTGCCCGCAAACATCGACTCGGAGATCCCGCCCAGCTGGGCCACCGCGCGGTCGATATCCAGGATCTCGGCCGTCTCCTCGGGGAAGCGGTGGCCGTAGGCGATGCCCAGGAACAGGCTCGCGGCCTGCCGGCGCACGCACTCCGTGAAGCGGTCTCCCTTGGTCAGCAGCTCATGCAGGAGCTGCTTGGACTCCAGGTCGTTGATGCCCCGGTACTTCACCGCCATGGTGGGCTTGAGCACGGCGCCGCGGAGGGCGCGGTGCGTCAGCCATTTCTCCCCATAGGGGAGGGCCGGGGTCGTGAAGCCGTACAGCGCGCGCTCGAGCACGAGCAGCTGCGGGCGGCTGCTGAAGACGGCGTTGTGCTTTGCCAGGAAGGTCTCGACGATGTGGTGCGAGGAGACGATGATGGTGATGTTGCCCCCGTTGTTGACTGTCATGATCGGGCCGTATTGGTCGGACCATTGTTTGTACACTTCCCATGCCTTGTGGCGGGGAGCTTGGTGAAGGTTTCCAATTATTGGGAGCCCTCGGGGGCCTGGAGGGAGGGGCAGTTGGGACTTTTTGTTGGTTGGGGTCAGATGGTAGTAGGATATGATGAGATAGATGGCGATGAGGAAGACGAGAGCCAGACCCGTTGGGGTCAACGCAGTGAGGGAAAATGACAAGGCCATTGTGAGGTTATGGGTGGTCTCGAGCTGGATGGTGAGAATCACCCAGCGCAGCTAACAACTTGAAGATGAAGAGGGAGGAGGTGAGAGGGAGGACAGAGATGGGCAACTTTTCCTTTGCTGGTTTGCGAGCGCAGTCACCTGTCTCTTGGATCCGGCGGTGGTGTAGGAGGAAGGTTGTCCACCAATATTTGCCAAACCTGTACATGTAATAGACAAACTTGATTTCTTGTGCTACTGCTCCCTGTTGCTGCTGCATGATACACAATTGATTCAGGTTCATCAATAGACTCGATGTTTGGTGGCCGATCATCGTCATTGTTTACCTCGCCTCAGAGTATACGGAGTAGAGCTGAACTCATCCATCTCCTCAGCCAGCCTCGACTGATGATCATTTCCAGTTCTTCCGATGCGGAAGTCACAGCACAGCACGTTCTGCTGTGCACTCTGTCATACCTTTAGTAGAAACTATTGATATTGGCTGCAGATTATGCGGGGAACCTGGGATCTGCATGTGGCTCTGGCCACCACCAAACTTGTTTGTTCAGGATGTTTGTATGATCTCCACGGATGGAGGCAGTCGACGGTTCACAAATACTTCCGTCTCGGCTGCATGATGGCAATAGCCCGGGTGATCGACGGCGATCGAGAACGATCGATTCAACCCAATCTCATCGAGTGTGTAATTTTCAATTCCCCAATACACACGCCTATCTGTTACCATTACGGCTGGTGGAAGGATAAGTAGTTGTGGCTCACAGCAGAAACGCACAAGGACATACAGACAGACAGACCCAGAAACTCATTGCAAATCATATTCCCTGTTGCACTACGCAATCATGACCGTCCTTGAAGAGTCTCTCCAACAGAGTCCGTTCGAGGTCCTATCCAAGGAGCTCAATTTCAAGAGCGATGAGGAAAGGCTCTGGTGGGAGAAGACCGGGGTGATGCTGGCGAGAGTGCTGTCGTCTGCCAGCTACACCCGCGACCAGCAACTCCAATACCTCCAATTCTATGCCCAGGCGCTGCTCCCTCTTCTGGGCCCTTATCCGCAATCCTTCCGCAGCTCCATCACACGCAGTGGGCTTCCCCTCGAGTTGAGCATCAACTATCAGCAACAGGAGAAGCCACTAGTGGTGCGCATTGGATTCGAGCCGCTCAACGCCCTCTCCGGCACCCCCGAAGATCCATTCAATTGCCTCCCCGCTTCCGAGGTCCTGTCCTCGCTCGCCCAGATGCGAATCCCGGGCTATGACGAACAGATCTGGCACCAAGTCATCCAGGACCACACGGTGAGCCAGGCTGAGCGGGAAGCCTTGCAGGGCGTCGACCTTGAGGCGGGCTACATCCGATCACAGACCGCGTTCGGCTTCGACCTGACGAGGGAGGGCAGAATTGCGGTGAAAGGCTACAGCTTCCCCGCCTTGAAGTGCAAAGTCACTGGCCAGTCCATGGCCCAGCTGATGGCCACCTCGATCGCCAACCTGACCCATCTCATCGACTGCTCCCCGGCGTTCGCTACGGTGGATGCCTATCTGCGGGATGTTGGCTACGACGACCGGTCATTCTTCTCCTGGGACTTTGTCGACCCGGCCCGCTCGCGCCTGAAGCTCTACACCGGCTCCAACAGCGTGACGTGGGAGAAGCTGGCCGAGGTCTGGACTCTCGGCAACCGCGTCCAGTCCCCGACGGTGGCCCGCGGGCTGGAATACCTGCGGCAGCTGTGGGATCGGATGCAGCTGGCGGCCGGCGAGCGGGATATCGTGGTAGCCTTCGATGACCAGCAGAGCACCTCCAAGGCCACCCCGTTGCTCTGGAACTACGAGATGCGCGCGGGCGACCCCAACCCGCTGACCAAGCTGTACTTCCCCGTGCATGGGGAGAGCGACTGGAAGGTGATCACGGCGGTGGCCGACTTTCTGTGTCACATTGGGCTGGAGCGCCATGGTAAGGGGTATGTGGAGAAGGTCAAGTCGTACTAGTAAGTGTTTCCGATGCGTGTACTCGAGTGTCTAAACTAACTGTTGGTTTAATTTCAAGTCCCGGGATTGATCTCACTACAACTGATCGGTTTACCTCGTGGGTTTCGTTTGCCTACACGGAAAAGATTGGGGTGTATCTGAGTACTTATTACCATTCTTCCACGGATAATCCGTGGAAGATAACAGTCGAAGAGGAGGACCAGGCTTAAACTATAAAGCTGTTTCATCGCAGTCGAATAGTGGCCGCATATCCTGTAGCCTTTTCATATCAACTCAACCTATAATCAACACACCGTCCAGTCAAACAATCACACCTACTGTCACATTTTTCAATATTTCGTAATATTCATATAAACTCACCACAACAGTGAGAGAAGAAACTACAACCCCCCCCTCTCAGCCCAAGTACCTCACCTCAAAAGCTCTACTCAGAAATCCTCAACCCCTGCACATCCAACGGCTCAACCACCGTCTCTGCCTCCGCACCGGCGCCCGCGTCGTCCGCCTCGTCCGGCCCCCAAAGCTCCTCGACCAGCTGCATGGTGCGCGCATGCTCCCGGTCCGCGCTCGGCCCCCCGAGCAGAAACCACTGCACGCACAGCGCCTCGCCCGAGGGCAGCAGCTCCTTGTAGATCTTGCCGCGGCGCCCGGCGTGCACCTCGCCGATGAGCGGCTTGAGGTGCGGGTCGCTCTCGCGCAGCCGCCGGAACTGCCGCGTCAGCTCGTCCCTGTACATGTTCCAGTTCGGGGTGAAGTTCGGGTCGTTGCGGCCCGCCTCCGCGTCGATGAGCCACACGTACTGCTCGTGCGGGTGGTGGCGCCGCGGGATGATTACCCGGGAGGGTTGGGGGAGTCTTACCATTTTTCCTTTTGGTGGTGGGTGCTTTTGGCTGGGTTTGGTTTGGGGTTTGGGGTTTGGGTTGGGATGTTATTGGGAAGGTTTTGGTGGGTTGTTGGGTGATGGTGGTGGGTTTGGCTGAGCTTTTATATTGATCTGCTAGTTAGTCTCGGGGTGGTTGAGCGGGGGTTGGCTTTTTTTGTTCTTTGAGTGTTTTATATGTTATTTGGGACATGATGGGATTTTTACAGGGGGTTGTCATTTCTTGATTGTCTATCATTCTTGCTGTGATATATGTGAAGATCTGTAAAGGACCTAGTTGACATTGTTTGCATGAAAGGTAAAGGTGATTTTCTCAGAAGATTGATAGGTGTTGTAAGGATGAGGAGCTCTATGTTCTGATCTATAGAATATCTTAGCTCTTAGGGAGTCTCACGCGAACTGATAGTTGTATCATAGTATGTTGCGAAGATTCGAGTAGGATAAGTGGTTTGTATCATTGTGATTGTGTCTATGATTGTCATAGGTATAATTAAACCTCGCCTAACCATGTACCTTAAGCATTTGAAAGCCATGCCTGACACGCGGGAGCTCTTCTGGTAGGAAAGATCTTGATGAATAGAAAGAACATTCTTATAACTTGTGTCTATGATACTTCGAATCTAATGCAGATCCGTACTGTATGTTCGAGGTATTCAGCGGCGGGGCTGTGCCCACCGGTAGTGCTGTGTGGGCAGTACGGTACGGTATCTGGAGCATGTATAATACCATGGGGTGTGCTCTGGCGCTCCGCCTTCCGGCTCTCTCTTCCTCCTTTCCCCGCTTCTCCACTTCCTATTTACTATCATACTCCATCCGATATTGCCCATCGCTAGGAATGTTGTAAGGCACATACTCCTGACCATTTCGCACCGCTTCTGCCACTTTTGAGAACTCCTTCAAAGCGTACTCCTGGCAGTCGTGGTCCAGAATCCACGCCGGGTGCGGTGGCTTCACCATCGTCGGGTCCTGCCGCAACGCGTCGAAGTCGACATGATTCATCACAAATTGCAACACCGCCAGGCCACCTTGCTGGACGATCTGAGCACGCTGGTATCGGATCTTCTCCGTGACTGACAGCGCCAATTGTACATCCTTTTTCCCCGCCAAGTCAAGGGCGATCGCAAGTGTGGCGGCGTCTTCGATAGCCTGGGTACCTCCCTGTCCGCTGGACGGGAGCGCCGCGTGCGCCGCATCACCAACCACGATCATGCGGCGCTTGGGAGACAACCAGGTAGTCAAGGGAGTGCGAATGGCTAGATTCTCCGAGATAAATCGACCACTCATCACCCCTTTAATTACTGCCTCGAGTTGGTCTCGTACTGCCCAACCATCCATGCACTGCAGAATCTGGTTCATTGTTTCATCGTCGTTCTGGGACGGAGTACTGGCGGCCTGCAGATGCGGCATCATGTCAATGCGGTCCTCGAGACTGGATGCAATCAGATGAGGTGCCTACCTTATGCGAGCAGTACCAGAACAGCTCATTGTCCTTCTTCTTGGTCGTGATTCCGAAGTGGACTCCGGGTCCAAGCCAACCATAGATGCAGTCCTCGGATCCCGATTCTTCCTCACTGAGAATCCAACTCAGACTCGGACTGCAAGCCGCGACTTGAGCATCCAGGTAACCTCGAGAAGCCGCGTAACCGGTCTCCTGCAGGTTCATCTGCTGGCCGGTGATGCTCAGTCGGCCTTGGCTGTGGATTCCTTCGGCGCAGACGACACAGTCGGCCGAGATTCGTCTACCATCGATTTCAATTCCAGCCTCGTCTTCCGTCTCCCAGTACTTGGTGACTTCAGAGCCCAGGGCGATGGGAATGCCAAGGCTCTGGGCGTACTGGTGCATGGCGGACACTAGTGCTCCACGGTTGACTGTATAACCGTGGCCCTCGTTGTATCCATGGAGCTCGAACGTGCCATAACAATAGCCAGTGTAATCAAACACTTTGGCTCTGTTGGTCTGGAACTCCAACGGGCGGATTAATTCGTGGAAGGCACCATCGCCCCATTTGGCAGTCACTCGAGCTCCGTTGGAGCCAATGCTGATTCCGTCTCCTTCTGTTAAACGATATCAGTGATTGAGTTGAAGAACAGGCGATTCGCCTCGAATCACGTCATTGACTCGGCTACTAACCCATCTGTTTCAGCTCCTCATACTTCTCAAAAACCATAACATTATGTCCCTTGCTATGGCATTCAATAGCAACACTCAGCCCTGCAATCCCAAGACCGACAATGATCACTGTCAATTTGTTCGAGTCATTTTGCGCCATGCTCTCGAATGTCATGGTTGCTATCTCGTAATGTGAAGAAAATGATGTCGAAGACTTGTGGTCGAGCGAATTGATGTGGGCGCTCTTGCACCCCCAGATCGGCGGTCACACCTTTATGACTATCACGAATCCACCATTTGCATGAGAAAAGAAAAGAATCTTTGAATGTGATGAGATCAAGGTAAGACAATCAGCTCGTTTGAAAAATACAACAACATGCATAATGTGGGACAGGTGGTATCAATAGTGTATTACATTGCGATTTCCGCATCGAGTAAAGATTTGCGTATTTCGTCCCGATATAGTTACGATGATGGAGAACTTGGCGAGGTGATCGACCATGTGCCCCATGTGCAGCAATCAGCCGCACAAGCTCATCAGCCTTCTGTGACATCCAAGGCATAAGCCGTCATCTAGGTGCAGATCACGGCATGTCACATACACCCATTTCGGAAATGCGGCGGCGGTAGAAGGCAAAGTGATGAAGTATGGCGTTGCCATAGCTTTCTCCACTCGGGCTTCAGCTGCGCCAAACGACACTATGGAATCATGCCGGGCCTGGGCGCGTCTTGTGTGATCTAGGTACATGGACTTTCGCCTTCTATGGACGATGATTAACCTAGGTCGCAGAGGTTCTTTCTTCTACCGACAGCATGAGCTCAATGGCACATACTTTAAATTTCGAAACCATTGTCGACGGAAAGACAAACCGCAAGGTAGCAGAGGAGGTGCACAAGCAGAATGAGTTCGCCTAACATTGAGTCGTGCCTCTTTCCGTGCATCACCTCTTCTACTAGTTCATCACCCGATGAGACAATTGTGTATTGGGACAAGTTTGAATGGGAGGTCAGAATTTCCGACGTCTCGTTGCTGCAGAGCCTGATGCACTCGTGGGCCATTGTGCTAGCCAAGTATACAGACTCTGAGACGCTTCGCTTCGGCAACTTGTCTGGTTCGACGGGCATTCAGACTTGCGATGAGATATCGGTCGAAGAATATGAAGCTTCTGTAAATTCTGCCGCGTACTTGTCAGACGCTGTCTCGCTCATAAGTCGGAAAAAATGTCAAATCCATGAATGGAAGTGCAGAGACCGGATCAACACATGCGTCGCGACAGACTTACACCCGGGCTGGCTGAATGACTGGAAAAGCTCTGTAAGTGCTACCATCCTCAACAGAACTCGCACCTAGAAGACCAACTCTGACATGTTGTAGTCTAATCATGGCATTCAACTCTTGCTTGTGGCAACACAGCAAGAATGGCCATGCATCTCCTTGTATGGTAAAGCGGGCCTCGTTGACAAATCTTCTATCCGATATTTGAGCACTGCTTTGCAGTACATCCTTCAATCCACCTTGGAGCGTCCGCAAGAGCTGCTGCAGAGCTTTGCTCTGACCCCTGACAATCATTATCGTCAGATCCGTGACTGGAACAAACACATCCTCGAAGAGCCGTTTGCCCAATGTATCCACGACATTTTCCAGGACAAATGCAGCGAAAATCCAGATGCGGAGGCCATAAATGCCTGGGACGGTGCAATGAGTTACGCCTCCCTGGATCAAGAATCAGCCAGGATTATGAACCTTCTGCGTCTACAGGGTGCTGGACCGGAAACAATTGTTCCTTTGGTTTTCGAGAAGAGTAAATGGACTGTTGTTGCTATGCTGGGAGTTCTCAAGGCCGGAGCAGCTTTTGTTTTGCTGGAACCGTCCCATCCTTTGGAGCGTCTGCAAAGCATTTGCCAAGATGTCAGGGCTCGAGTTCTCCTGACCTCTGAGCTTCACAAGAGTGTCGGGTTGCAGCTCGCCGACAACGTCATCTCAGTACCCAGCGATAATGAGAACGGAGCCCCGTATCGTGACAAAGTCTCTCCGTCTCAGATTCAGGTTAAGCCAGGTAACGCAGCGTATGTTGCCTTCACTTCCGGGTCCACAGGAAAACCGAAAGGGGTAGTTGTTGAACATGGTTCGTTCTGCACCAATGCGATGGTCAGTTCTGAAGCGCAAAATCTGAATGGGTCCTCCCGCGTGCTTCAATTTGCTTCCTATGCCTTTGATGTCAGCATTCACGAAAGCCTTGTGCCCCTCATGCTTGGAGGATGTGTCTGCATTCCTTCTGCTTCCGATAGAGTCGATTGTCTCGAATACGCCATTCTCCAGCTTCGGGTCAACTGGATGGAGCTGACCCCATCCGTTGCTCGGCTCCTAAGCCCCCAGCGAATCCCCGCTGTCAAGACGCTGGTCGTCGGTGGCGAGTCTATTGCGCCCTCGGAGGTCTCCCGTTGGGCGCCATATCTCCGCCTAGCCGTTGCCTATGGCCCTGCGGAATGTACGGTGGTATCGCTCGTGCATCCCAACTTCACCAAAGATGCTGACCCCTTTTCGATCGGTTGGGCCTGTGGGGGTTCAGTCTGGGTCGTCGAACCTGAGGACCACAACAAATTGGTCCCTATTGGTGCTGTGGGCGAATTGGTTATCGGAGGGCCCATTGTGGGCAGGGGATACTTGCATCGACCCGAACAAACGGCCGCTGCTTTCATTCAAAATCCTCGTTGGCACAGATCAGAGAACAGCCGGTTCTACAAGACTGGAGACCTGGTGCGCCAAAGGACCGACGGGAGTGTGTCCTTCCTAGGTCGCAAAGATACCCAAGTCAAATTGCGAGGTCAACGAATTGAACTCGGGGAGATCGAAAACCAGGCTGCCGAATTCTTTCCTGGTGCTGCAATAGCTGTGGAGGTTGGCAAGCTCTATCATGGACATTCGAGCTTGGTTATGTTTGTGGAGTGGAGTTCATCGAAGGAAGAAAAGAGATACAAGGACAAAGACAGCTGTCGGGCGACTCATAAGGAATGCTATCGATTTTGGCCAAGGGCGCTTCGAGCTAAAACAGGCCTTGCAAAAATACTCCCGTCTTACATGGTCCCGGATTTGATGGTGCCCTTGTGCGCCATTCCTCTCTCCCCAACTGGCAAAGTGGACAGGAAGGCGTTGCGATCGATAATTTCTAGCTGGTCTAGGGAAGAGATCAGAAAATACCAGCCTACGGCGTCTTCCTTATCCTCCAAGGAAAGGCATCACGGTCCTGCTGCGCCAGAGGCCACTCAACAAATGATCAATATAGTTGCTCGCGTTCTGTCGCTTAATGAGAGTGACATTAATGAGCACGATAGCTTTTTTCAGCTTGGGGGTGATTCGATATCTGCCATGATGCTCGCGCAAGAATCCGAGAGTATACCTTTTCTGCAATTCACCGTCGCGGATATTTTCCAATCCGTTGATATCTCTGAGCTAGCACGACGTGCACATACTATGACGCGTGAGAAAACCCCCAGGGAATGCAGTATACCAAACCATATTCTGCCGTTCTCGCTCTTGAGCCCAGGGAAGGTGGACGCCTATGTCCAGATTGCAGCGGAGCACAGTAATGTGGATGCATCACAAATTGAGGATATATATCCATGCTCGCCTCTTCAGGCGCGCCTGATGGCCAGAACTGCCAAGCAGCCAGGCGCTTTCCAAGGGCGTTTCACTTTCAAGTTGTCCCCAGGCCTCGACAAGGACCGGCTACGATGGGCTTGGAACCGTGCGGCAAATTCTCTTTCAATTTTGCGGACGAGGATTATCCACGCATGGCAATTAGGCGCCGAAAGCTTTCTTCAAGTTGTAGTTCGGGACAAGGACATTGAATGGATCGAGGCAGGAACACGAAGCGAAAGTGAGGTGAAGAGATCCATGTCATTTGGCTCCCCACTGATCTACCTGGTTGCTCTGCGTGCGAAACTTATTCCTACGTTGACTGTCGTTATTCATCATTCGTTGTTCGATCTGGTCGTGTTCCAGCAGATTCTCACGACGGTTGAAACTGCATATAGAGGAGAGGCTCTTCTCTCGCAACCATTTGCACCATTCATCAAGTATCTCGGAGATCTAAATGTACCTGAAGCATCAGATTTCTGGAAGAGGGAATTTGCCGGCCTCAAAGCAGTCCCGCTCCCTTCAAACAAGAACTTTACACGCTCGAAGCATTTGGCTATCAGCTGGACCCGCAGACGATCTCTTCTCCCCGATCCTAGCCCATTAGGAACAACAACGTCGTTGCTGATTCGCCTAGCGTGGGCAATGGTACTTTCTCAGTACACCGGTACTTTGGACGTTGTCTTCGGCATCACTGTCATGGGACGCAGCATGTCTGGCACTGTTGACGTGAAGGGCCCTACCATTGCTACTTATCCTCTTCGAGTCACACTCCACGGTGACCGCAGTGTCAGTGAAACGTTAAGGTGTATTCATGATCAGGCCATGAGCGTTGCGCCCTTTGAGCAGACTGGGATGCAACGAATCAGACAGTGTGGCCGGGAGGCTGCTAGCGCCTGCGAGTTCCAGAGCATGCTGATCGTTCAACCACCATTAGAAAAGACACCTCTGGGCAGGAAGGGTACATCGCAGTTGATGACATTGGATGAGACCGGATCTTGGAAGCACAAGTCGTACACCAGCTTCAGCACTCAAGCCCTGAGTGTCGTCTGTGAGCCTAGCGCTGATCATCTGGAAACGACGGCCTATTTCGACCGAAATATCATAAAGTCGCACCAGGTCACAGATATGTTGAGAAGTATGAATCGTATACTTCGCCTTCTTGTAGGATATCCTGATGCCCCCCTGAGGAGGCTTCTCAAGAAATGTCCACCGACATGCGATCTTACCGACAATCGTCACGAAAGCGTCTCCTTGGCCTGTCTAGAAGAAGCAGCTTCTGGATACCTTGGACCTGGCATTCCGGTGATTGCGGACTGGGTCACGCCCCAGGGATCTCAAGCCCCTAGTCTCGCACTTTTCGTTGGGGTCGTGAGTTTGGATACATTGTCAGACGATTGCTCAGTCCTAGCAAAGGTGGAAGAGCCGCTGCGCACTCGATTGATTCAGCTTATGCGCGAGCTACAACAAAGGCTTCTTGGGAAAACTGTGCGTTGTTGTTGTGTTCCCGTTTCCCTTTGTTATAAGCCATCCGTGACTCGTCTTCTTCTCGATCGATCTAGTGCACTAGAAGCTGCCGCCAAGCTCACCTGGGCAAGCTTAATTTCGTGGCAATCTTCACAGGACTCTATTGCCAGCGAAGACTTGCTGCCCGTCGAGGTAGGGTTAAGACACGCATTAGCGACAGTGCTACAGCTGAAGCCCCGAGAGATTGGTGTTGAAGATGATTTGGTTTCCCTTGGGTGCGATTCCCTTGTCGCCATGCAGTTCGCTGCCCAGTGCAACCTGGACGGTATCCAGGTGACGGTCGCGGATATCTTCCAGGCCAAGTCGCTCAGATCCCTAGCTCTAATGGTCAAGGGACGCCCAGCGCAACATTTTCAATCCACTGCATTAGCAAGGTTCTCCTTATTGAAGCCGACGTATGAGAACCAAACGTCCTTCGAGCAAGACATATTTACGACCGTCGACAGTGACAGGTTGGGAAAAGCGACCGAAGATGCATTTCCGTGCACCCCGTCGCATCTGGGACTTCTTTCTGAATTGGGCAATTGCCAATCGCATACGATCTGGGAGGTCGGGGGGCCTGATGAGCGGATCAACCCTACGCATCTAGGCGAATCTTGGTTGAAGCTTGTTGAGCACCATCCAGCACTGCGGACCCTCTTGCTGCCCAGTCTGTCGAATCCAGCCCAAATGTTCCATGTCATGCTGAAGAAGTCCCTTGATGCCGTCGAGATCTTGACCGACATCGATGATTCCATTATACTGGAGATTGCAAGGCGGCCTCGTCTATCGAGCTGCGATAAAAAAGGACTTCCATACAAGTTTACAATCTTCCAGAGCACAAGCGGGAGGGTTCTTTGCAAGCTAGAGGGGAGGTATGCCTTCCTTGATGCAAATTCGGTCATTATCCTCTTGACAGATCTTCGAAGGTCTTTACAAGGCATTACGCTGTCGGATTCAACAGTCAGTTCCTACTCTTCATGGGTATCGTTTCAGCAAAGTTGGGCTAAGGACCCCTCGCATCTGCATTTCTGGGATCAGTATCTGGCCAATCTTCACCCATGTATCTTGGCTGGTGCGGTCGCGCATGACCGCAGCGCGGTGCTCCCACACAGCCAAAATCATGAGAGGAAGTTTGCTGAGAGCAGATATCGTGGACAGATGCGATCCCACCACCAAACACTTCTTCAAGACACCCGCGCCCTGCGCGAATGGTGCGACCAAAGGGGAGTAACAATCACCAACGTGATACAGGTTGCTTGGGCCCTTGTGCTCAGCGAACAAACGGCCCGGGACGACGTCTGCTTTGGAGCTCTAGTCTCCGGCCGCGATGCACCCGTACCTCACATCGGAAACATGCTGGGATCGCTCTTCAATGTCCTCGCCTGTCGGATCACGGTGCAATCAGGCCCCGACCATTGTGTTCTTAACCATGTCTTGCAGGCTAATCGCCGCTCAATGGGAGAGCGGGCGTCCCACCAATTCTGTTCTTTGAGCGAAGTCACACGTCGGATACTTGGCGAAAAGGAGTCCGGAGCGCCCTCGTCCCTGTTCAACACCTGCCTATCGGTTGAGCAGCCGCTTACCGACCAGACCGGGCCAATGGATGGGTGCTTCAGGGTGCTGGAAACAGTTGAAGAGACTGAGGTAAGAATATCCCACACCCGTGTCCTAGTCGAGCTGCGTCTTTCGCAATTGGATTCAGCTTTGCTAACATCGTTTGGGGTGCCAGTATGACATGGTCGTCGCCGCCACAGTGCTGTCTGACCGAATTGACGCTCAGTTGATGTTCTGGGATAGCTTTTGCGATGCCTCTCGTGCTGCAGACCTTGGACAGGCTTTGGCTCAGGCAGTTGAGCAGATTATGGTTTGCGATGGGATGGAGGTTTGTGCTTGAGATTTGGGTAAATGACAATCGGTTTGAGTGTAATGTTGAGATCACCTTGGGGGTGACTTGATTGGTTTTTGTGGATTTTTTGGTTATTATGAGCTAGTATATTCCGTGCCTTGTACCGGGGTTCTGAAGTTCTCGTGTTTGATGTTGAGATGATAGTTGAAATTCCACGCATAGTTCTGACATCCAAGGCTGCTCAGGTCTTTCCTTTCTTTATGTACCTAATGTCTGACAGAATGTGGATCAAATTACAAGAAATCGTCTGGTCTGACATTTGTTCTTTGTGCTGAGTTTAGTACAGTACCTGCGCATCTTCCTACGGGCTACGGAGTAACTTACCAGTCACTGCTCGACAAAAAGGCGGTCGATCGGGCGGAAGTCGATTAAAAGAAGTGGTGACTGATTCTGCCGGGTTTCATCTACGCGATCGGCTCTCTCTACACGACGCTGCCTCATATGCGGGGCACTGATAACAAGAACCATTCTCGGTACTTTGAAAAAGGAATTTGCGACATTAATAGAGATGATTCGGTGGACTCCCTTGTCCTCATTTGGGCCCAGCTTGTGAAATGCTTTTATCTTCAGGCTGTGGGTAACTATAATAGGTAAGTCTGGTTGTCCACCTACGAGAGACCTCGCTAAAGTTGTTTGTCCGCATGTAGATGCCTGAGCGCTCTTGAAACTCTTCGAATCTCTGCAGAGGTCCTTGGCCTACACAACGCGCACACCTACCGTCATCCCTTTAGTCTACAGGATGATGACCGCTCACGTACTTGGTTCTCTTTGTATATCTATTCCAGTCTACCTGCGCTTCAGCTCGGCCGACCAACCCCTATCAAGCGCGCCCCTCATTAACACACCATGCTTCCGAAGGATGACGATGACTCTACGAACGAGGATGCTATCAGCCATATGTACTACTTTATCCGTATGATTCGTTTCTGTAATATAGCATCTCGTGTCACCAGCTTCGAGCTGCCCCGAAGCAAAGCGTCCATGGAACAAATGTTGATCGTCCTTGAGTCTCTGGAGCACGACTTGATGGAGTGGGAACACGACATACCATGGAATTTCTGCATGCGCGGCCGATTCGGACCCCCAGCGACGGAACAGTCCTTGATGACCGTTCGACAGGTGTGTTCATGCCTATTCTATTGCCATCCGAGCCATTCTGCTGACGTAGCCCCTCACAGCGCAAGATGCTCGGCCTCAGCCGTTTTCACCTCAGTTCATTGATGTACAGGCCCTTCGTTGGCTCAGAATTGACGTCCGTGCGCGAACGGGAATTCTGTTTTCGCATGTCTGAGATGCACGCTCAGGGCATGGTGGCTCTATTCAAAGAGCCTCATCGCAGCGGGCGTCATATTTTGGATGAGTTTCCCTGGTGGCAGATGACGCCGTATTTGATCCACGCCAGCTCTTTATTCTTTGTCTCGGAGATATACCCCCGGTACATTGGTGTCACCTTTGTTCAGGGGAACAGACCACGACCAGAGGAGGCGCGAGCAAGTGCCGAAGAGTGCTTGAAGCCTGTGGGCGGCCTGCAGGTGGGGCAGGTGGGCTCTGCTGAGGTAAAATGAGCAGCCAGGCTACTGAGAGGGCTATCGGCCAAGTATAGCCGGACTGGGCGAATTGAACCTGCGTCATCTTCCAGGAGAGACGTTGTCGCTGTGGGTGCTTCTGATGAATGGTCCCCTGAGTTCTCGAGCGCCATGGCCTGGATCATGCATTTCTACGCTCCTTCTCCTATCCCGACAAGATCAACAGTACCGGATAGTTCCGATATTCAGATCGCGTAGTCAGACGAGACCCATTCCTGAGATCGACAGTTCAGGTATATTATTCGACTAGGAGGAGCTTCCAAGGAAAGTGCAGCAGCTTGGATCAAGCAATGTTCAATACATGAAGTTGGATTGTTCCGGTCAAGGAAACGGGAAATGCTTTGTTGGTAGATATAACTCTTCTACCCGTCGGCGAACTTCACGAAGGGACTGTACATACTATTCGCACAACATCGAAGAAAAGACCATTTACTTCAAGCGAGATCCATTAGAGCTACACCAACGAAACAAACCTCACACTCTAGAACTTGGCTCCCAAAACCCACCCTGTCTGTCGGATCCTCGTCACCAAGACCAGCATCGTTCCCGCCAGCAAGAGCAAGCCCGAAAAGATTTTCATTCCCGTGTAGGACCCATTGTCCTGCGCCAAAATCGCCCCCGCGATCGGGTTGGTTGTCAATCCCCCAATCGAGGAGAAGAGGTAGAGCACGCCGGTCCAATACCCGATCTCCGGGAGAGGGGCCAGTTTCGCGACGAGGGCCGGCGGAAGCGAGAAATACGCGCCAGACGTGACGCCGTACAGCACCGCGAAAGCGATATTTGCCGCGTCGGTCGTGGCCGGGATCCAGAGCCCGAGGATCAGAATCCCGGTGATGGTGCAGACGAGAAGGAAGATATTGTAAACGCCGACTTTATCGGAGAGGAAGCCTGCTGCCATGCGGCCGAGGAGGCTGTTTCGTCGGCTATTAGCATCTTCCTCGTCTTGCTGCTGTGGCGAGAGGATGGGATGGCGATACATACCTCCCCGCATTCAACATGGGCACTACATACTGCGCCAACTGCAGCCTCATCCCGCTCTTGATGGCAGCCGTCTCCACGAAGTTGGTGGGGATGTACACCCCGAACGTGAGCAACACGAACCCCGCCACGAGAAAGCGCATCTTGATCTCCCGCCAGGGACGCAACACCGCCTCGCGATCCATCTTCTTCTTCTTCTCACCACCATCCCCCCTCCCCCTCCCCGCACCCCGATCCCTAATCGTCAAACACATCACCCCCAACAACCCCATAATCAAGAACGCCGCCACCCGCATCGCCCACCCAAACCCCACCTGCACGACCAACCTGCGCGTCATGATCGGAAACACGATCCCCCCGACACTCGACCCCGACGCAATGATCCCGTACGCGGCGCCCCGCCGCCGCCGGAACCAGCTAGGGATCACGCTCATGGCCGGCTGGAAGATGGCGCAGATGCCCATGGCGCTGCACACCCCCTGCGCCAGCAGGATCTGGTAGTACTGGGTCGCGAGGGAGGTCATCAGGAGGCCGATGATGTGCAGGGCGGAGCCCGTGAGGAGGACGGGGCGGGCGCCGTGCGTGTCGCTCAGGTAGCCGACTATTGGGCCCTGTGGGGGGTTTGGGTTGTGGTTAGTGGGTGTGGATTCTTTGGAGGGTTGAGGTTGGGTAAGGTAGACTGGCTGCATTCGGAAGGGGCAAGGGGAAGGCCCGGGGGAAACGAGACGAACCATGAAGAACATGAAGAATACTTCTAGGGAAGGGATCCAGGCGATCGTGCTCGGTGCGTATTGGGGGAGGAGGGTGGTCGCGTAGTAGGTTTGGAAGGTTCCTATGCCTTTTTGGCTGTCAGTGACTCTGGTGTCGCTGTGGTTTTGGGTCGACAGGTGTGTTTGTGTATGCTGGGGTAGTGTGTGCATGGCAGGCATACTATTGATCCAGCCGAAGCTGCAGAACATGGCGCACCAGGCCCCGAAGACGACGGACCATGCGGCGAGGCCGCCGTCCGGGGGCAGCTCGTCGATGCATTGTGAAGTAGACTGTGCTTGCGCGTTTTGCTTCTCTGCGTCGAAGATGGTTGGCACTGGTGGATTGGGTGGAGTGGGAGGTCGTTTGGTGGCGGTGTTGGTAGTAGTTGTGTCCGGCTGCTCCGTTGCTGAGTTGGTCCGCGCCCGGGACATGGTGCGCTTATCAGCCCCCCTGAAAGCGAGGTCAATTGTGCTGCTCCAGAAGCCAGGCTTACGAGGGAACAGCCCATGATGGTATAAATATGAATAGGAGGTGGGAATATTGTTGAACTACTACCGGATCCTACATCATCCCCCCCCCTTGCATGCCCAGGTATGTGGTTCGCCGGCAGACATGTCGACGGGTAAATTCTCCGACATCCCAATGGTTTGTGGATTGGAATCCACATTTTATTGACAGTAGTGCCATAAACCATCAAGAGAATAGAGGAATGGATCTGCTCAAGCGAGGAGTCGTGATTGTGTGGCTGGATATGCGACTTTAACATTCATCAAAGTAGGATTGAACAGAAGTGGGAATCTAACGGGTTGAAAACAGGGAATCAAAAGAATGCAGATCAACACATCATTCTGAGCAGCAAAAGCGATCATCATCATAATCATGACACCCCAAACGCCATGTCGTTAAGAGTAAAAAGAAAAAGCCATAAAGGCTGCCCCAGCCGCAGCAAGCTCAGCAGCACCGCTCAAGCAACACGTCCGACCTTTAACTTTCTCTTGCACCACGCCCGGACCGACTGTCGCGGGGGCTCGCGTAGCTCCGTACTGACGGCCGGGACTGGAGGTTGAGGTGCTCCGGGGCTGGGTCCCACGACCAGGAGGTATCGCGGTAGAGGAGTGACGGCCGCCCAGCTACTATGAACGACAACGGGAACATGGCTTGTGGAGGTCTTGCAGGGTCGACGCAGGTGCTCGAATGTGCGTCGGCAGATTGGACAGCTTGGGTTTGGCCGCTTCAGCCAGTCGTCGATGCATGGTTGGTGGAAGAAGTGCTGGCAGGGTAATTGGCGGTACGATTTGATGCTATCGAGGTCTTCGAGGCAGATGATGCATTCTTGGTTGTCTTCTTTGCTGGTTAGCGAGGGGCCCGGTAGTTGCGGAGGTAGCAGGCGCTCGTACCTTCTAGCGAGGGGGGGAGGTTATCGACGATAGGCAGTTGGTGGAGGTCTATTTCGTATTGCATGGCGGACGGCTTGCCTTGTGCCATTCTGGAGGTTAATGCACAGTGTGCACAGGTCTCTGAAATTGACTTCTGAAGACAATGTTTCTTTACAGGACAAGAAGAGTCAGGGAGAAGGAGAAAAAAAAAGTAGCGCTCGTTGACATTGAGCAGCGATGATGTGGGGTGCCCCTGGCCGTGATGTCATATGCTCATAAGGCTGAAATGACTTAATCCTCCAAAACAGGCTTTGGTGGAGCCTGCGGGCTGGGTTGTGCAGTGCCGTGGTTGGTGGATGCCCCTGCAGGTTTGACGCGGCACATGGGAAATGACGGCTGTGACACAATCTGCGTAATTCAGATGCCGAAGTCGTCGGCTTGCATCGGGTCAGACCATCATGATAAGGGAAGCGCTGCAGCAAGCGTTGAACATGCTCTTTGTTCTTGATCGGTTGAATCAAGTATGGTTTCTTCGTATATTGTGGTCGTTGTATAGTGGAAGGCTTCGTCTATATAATTTGGTTCGAGTGTCTCGAAGCGACAGCCATGCCAAGGCAGGCGACCGTGGTTTGTCAGTAACCAAGTTGTGACATCGTCCCAAGCGTCCTCCAATCATACTGCTGGAGCGCAAACTATATCCAGGCCATTCAGAAAGAGTGGCCAAGACTCTTGTGATAGGGACTTCTTGCGATGATGCGCAGCAAGTATCCCGCCTATGCCGCCCTGCCTTTGAGCTTCCGATATACAACATGGTACTTCCGGACTTCGAAGAGGCTCGTTTGGTTGTCCAACTCGAGTGCCCCGCTAACGGTGTTGTCGGCTTTTGGAGTCGCTGTGTTGCGTATCTCAGGTTCGGCCGACCGGTATGGTCTCGCATGATTTTAGACGAACCGTGGTCGATAAAACGCTCATCTTCGAGGAGGAGATTGTGCCGTTATCTACTGGGGTCTGGAATAAGTCTGATGACTGGATAGTGTCAGTAAGCAACACTGAGCCGGTTAGGGGAACCGATAAGAAGCGAGAGTAGTCGAGGTGTGCGTTGTAGAACACACCTGCGGGTATTACCCATTCGCATCCTTCCAAGGTAAAGCCACGGCTTCTATGCCGTCAAGCTCCACGTACTCAGAGTGCTCCGCATGGGAGAAGAAGAGGCCTGTTCAGTTCAAGATGTTCTGGAAGGGGAGCATCAGCATGTGACCGAAAGTCAAGTGACCGGCTCAAGATGGAAGGTCAAACACTCAGCCTGGAGCCTGAGGTGCGGACTTTCGCTACCACTTCAAAAGTCCCTCAGTCTTTTCTCTCTCTTTGATCACGACGTCCTTCTTTTCTTTCCTGTATTGAGCATCTCCGCATGATAGGACTTTTCGTCAGCCTTCTGCTTCTGTCTTCCTTTGGACAACCCCCCTGCATCTATCACGTTGGCCAAGATACTCGGACTGGGGACTTAGCGGTTAAGAGTGGTCGCTCAATGGAGCCCCCAAGAAACTTGACCAATCTGCCCGTGATTGAGCTGTAAGTCCTTCATTATGCAAGTGTCGGAGCCCGTTATGCTTTTTGGCGCTAATGAGTGTGCGTTGTCCTACCTAGGCGCCCGAGTAATGGTCCGTGAACCTCTGCTTTGTCTGTGCGGAAGACTCTTGTCATCGACCGCTTTTCAATCAACGCAAATTGTTCGAGTAGAAGTCCCATACAGCAGCTCGAAGACCAGAACCAGACTACTCTGTGTCAGCAGATATGCCAACTCTGGAGCACATTTGCTTTCTGTGTTAGAGGCTTCTCAAAGCTGAGTGCCGGGGCCGCACGCATCAACTGTCA